ATAGTACATACCTACACATCACAAACAACCTCTGTCCTCAGTACAGTAGCATAGTACATACCTACACATCACAAACAACCTCTGTCCTCAGTACAGTAGTATAGTACATACCTACACATCACTAACAACCTCTGTCATTAGTACAGTAGTATAGTACATACCTACACATCACTAACAACCTGTCCTCAGTACAGTAGTATATATAGTACATACCTACACATCGCTAACAACCTCTGTCCTCAGTACAGTTACACAGAAATTTAACAAAGACAAAATATAGCAATGCTGCTAGGCTACAGTAAATTATTTTTCTCACAAATATCTGCCTATTTCCTCCTATATAAAACAGCAGTGTTTTAATGATTGTGTTAGTCCTAATATTAATGTACTTATTGATAAACCTGACATATGATGGAAGTACAATGTATGTTATCATTTAGTGACCTTAATTTTTGATACCGATAGAAATAACTTACTGTCTGAGCCATCTAAGTAGTGTTCAAACACCGGCAGCTGTACACCTGTAAGAACAGATACAAATATGTCACAACGGTAGTACACATATCAAACCAATTATATATAGTCTGTTATCACATAATGTACTGTGTTATCCAGTGAATATACCCATGTCATATTTTTTTGCATATTAACCCATGTAATGTGACCTATCAGCCCTATGCTTGGTTGTATGTTTCGATTGTGACGTCATGCCTAGGACAAGTACATGTCATTACTCATAGACTTACGCACTGGAGTCAAAATAGCAGGTTTTTACATTTCAAGGTTGCATGAAAATTGTCGTTTTACATGAATAAATGCCACAAATCTTGATAATGTGATAAAAAAAGGATCTTACACTGGTTTTCATTTCTTATGAAATTATTGAAACTCGTCACAAATTGTATTTTTCAATTGTGACGTCCCGCCTAGGACAAGTACATGTCGTTACAGACTTACGCACTGGATTCAAAATGGTGGGTTTTTACATTTCAAGGTTGCATGAAAATTGTTGTTTTGGGCCCTCGGCCATGACCTTGAGACCAAGTCCCCAGTGTAATATGTGAAAGATTCATCCTAATTTTTCTTTAGAAACAGCAATCACAATAATTACCTGGAGATGGATGTCAGAGGGACAATGGCTGACGGACCAACAACAAAACAACAAAGTAAAAATGATTTTGTGATATCATTTTTTAAGACATACCAGCCACATTTTCTTTCTTTGATCGGACTTTCAGCTGAGCTTTGTTGACATTCTGTAAAACAATATGTCCAAAATCTCCAGAGGTAAACTTCGCCTCCGCAAGAGAAAACGCTGCCTCCCTCATCACCTCTCCCATCCTTACTTTTGTCTGAAAAAGATACCCGAACATTTTTATTTCTTAATTCCAATACACAGAAAAAAGGGTTAGTAGGCATAAATTAATGAGCCAATTAAAAACAAGAAGCACATAGGGCCTGCATTACAGGCTAACCATAGGGCTTCTAAAGGACCTTTCTAGGTGTTTTTTTGCTGGGCTTTACTTCATGTTAGTATACTAAAACAATATTTTTAGAGTATTTTTTAAGGGAGTTGGGTCTCTTTTTTCGTAATGTACAGTTTGAAAATTCCAATTAATCTATATTCTGTAAATCTCCTATACAAACACTTTGAATTCAAAGGTGGGTCTGGAGGGAGGATATTGTACATTGCAAACAATATAATTTCCTGAGTTCTAGCAGGCAGGTAGATTTTGCAAAATTCTAGCAACTAGCCCAAGCTATAAATACAGTATATTGCAAATTTCAACTATTCAACAATTTTCGAAACGAAAAGTACTAGCTCAGCTATCATGCTATTAAAGTTTTACACACTGGAAGCCCCCAACTTCAGTACGCTTCAGGCCAATTCAACTTTCAATACTTTAAACTGTGCCAGGTAAGCTAACGAGATAATTGATCTGATTTATAGAATGTGTGTCCTAAAGCTTCCTAAAATTAGAAGCGGACATTGTCTAGTACATTGACGCCATGAATGAATGCAATAAAATTACCTCAATGATTTTCTTAAGAATCATTCTGAATCTCAGGGTCAATGCATCTGCCTTCTTCTTCAGCAAACTGTGGCCCTTTTGTGCTCCCTTTAATCTTGCCTTCATGATGGTCAAGGCCCTTCAATTATAAAGTTTTTTACAAGGTTATACCATATAACAAGTTTACCGCGCACATATTACTAGCAACACACGAAAGAGTACTATAAGATTACTTCATTAAGTTATGCTGAAGCCTCACCTTTACTAGTCGGCCAAAGTAAACTTAACAAGAGGCCCAGAGGGCCAGTATCGCTCACCGTTTCTTTTGTTACATGAAACTGACATATAGGTTACTTCAAATCAAATTTGGTAACTAGAACACAAGACATTTCAAGATCTCTTAAATGCTTAAGATATTGTTGTTTGAAATTTGAAATTGTAATTTTAAAGCTTTTCACCCACATTGACCTTTGACTCCGGCTAGCACTTAGAGTTGACATTTGACCTCATTGCTGTAATTAAGAAAAAAAATGCACTGCTGGTCTTCACAACATACCCAAGTATCATGACTCTAGACCAAGACCAAATGCTTCTTAGGATATCTTATACCTGAGACCTGGGCCTTATGGAACTTGAGAAGAAGATTGTTAAAGCTTTTAATCCATGTTGACTTTTTACCCCAAACTAGCACTTAAAGTTGACCTTTTTACCTCATTACTGTTATTAAGAAAAAGATTCACACTTCTAGTCTACATAATATACCCAAGTATCATGTCTCTGGTCCAAATGGTTCTTAGGATATTGCTGTTTGAAGTTTTTAACATATGTGTGCCCTTGAAGGTAGGTCAAGGTCCTTTTCATGAGGAAACTTTATAGCACTCCATCCCAGGTACCTACTGGCCAAATATCATGACTCTAGGTCCTCCAGTTCTGTAGAAGAAGTTGTTTAAAAGAAAAAATTGACGGACAGACTATGGACGACGCAGTACGGCATAAGCTCACATTGCCCCTTCGGACCAGGTGAGCTAAAACCCCACTTAATTGATGACGCTTGAGTGATGTTGTGATTATAATCCTACTTTAAATGTTCATTTAGTTATTGAACATGTATAGCAGGTTATTACTTTTGTTACAGGAAAGCAAGTTGTGTATGTGCTTCCACAGGGGATCAAACCCCCAATCTCACTCCTTTTATGTCAGACGCTCTACCACTGAGCTTTTAAAAGAAGGGAAATTCCCTCTAGCACCAAGCCAGAAGGCGACCGTAATCGATGATTTGGCGTATTTAGATATAGATATTGACTTAGACAGCAGGGGTTAAATGCCCGTATCGGACATGCATGAAACATGGGAACACCTGCTCCATCGAGCGAGTTCCTTCTGGGTACCGTTTTTGCCTACATTACGGCCAAGTGCAATATATAATCTCCANCCCCCCCCCCCCCCCCCCCCCCAAAAAAAAAACACCCTTCCCGGCTATCCATATCTTTAGGTCGCTGACTGGACTGAACGGTTCCGACTCTGTCGTTGCTAACAATTCCAGGTGTTTTTTTTACCCCCAGGCCTCGTCTACCTCCCCTCCAACACACATTAGCTAGTTACAGTACACCCTCGCAAGTGAGAGGATATCCTCGTATATCCTCAACCTGTCTATGAAGTGCACTCGGCATCGTCGACCATAACATTATATTTATGAATAATCTGTCTGTTTAATGGATTTAACGTTAGTCATGTTGCAAAATATTTTAAGTGTTGTTGATGATGCTGATATATTAAATTTGAGGCGACTGCTAATTAAAAACTCACATCCTTGAAGGGAAAACGTTGATTCTATCGGACGACATATTTTCTTCTCCAATATGACTATCTCAGTAAACGTCACATGGCTTATCACGTGACGGCATACTGAAAAGGCGCACTTGATTGCAGCCTGCCGTTTGTAATACAAATTAATGCATAAAGCCATTTTGGTCTCTGTGGAGTATAACATATAGATAGATATGGGTCAAAGAAGTAATATAGACGGTAAAATCCCATATAACACTGGATCCTAATGGAGGTATGTCCGTAGGATACGAATTACTTAAAATATTATATGGGGCAAAGAAGTAATTCCAACAGTGTGGACAAGTTTAGGTTGTCAAATTTTCGGAGCGTTCCGCTCCTTTTTCGAGACACAGTGAAACAGAACAGTTACATCTACATATACATCATATTACAAGAAGATATAATTGATATACTATAATTGAAAATATAGATAGATAGATAGACAGAAATAAAAGCCCCATAATATCCAAACTGCTTATACTACACAGGGGCAGAGACGTATACATTACAATATTGTAATATCACGGACTTAGATAATCTAATTCCGTGGTAATATGCACGTCTCTGCCAGTGGTCACAAGCTTCATCCTCCAAATTCCGGGGGGTAAGTTCTTTTACATTATAATATAACATGTACGCGCCATCATGTGGGTGATACAAAAAAACAACAAGAGAAGTGTCAACAAAACCATATAATTCGAACTGACCAGCAATAAAACTAAGGCAAACATGTGTGCGATATGGACAAAGAACATATTTGCACGGAGACTTCTGATAAATGAAACGAGAATGAGACCAGGGGTTGCGGCAGGGTAAGCGTCTTCTGCTTCATCGACGACACCTGCCATGTTAATCGAGCAAAGTACAGCAGTGTCACGTCCTCACACCGAGAACTCGGGTAGTGACAACAAAATCTTAACACAAAGAAAAAACATTTCCTTATTAGATCATGATGACAGTCATAAAACTTTTCTATAGTCTTCATCAACTTTTGGAAATCTTGTGTTGTAAGTTTTACTGTCAACAATATATATTGACATCTACTTGTCATGCAAAGTTGGAGATAGGAAAATAATGTCCCTTTTATGTACATTAAAGGAATTGCGCGGCAACGCAACGGTAAACTTTGCTTGCTTGAAGTCGGATGTCGTTCCTCTGTTTTACATATAAAACCAAATAAAAAAAAATGTCCCTTTCGGTTTGGCATGACATATTCCAGGGGTGCAGAGAGCGTAACCTCTGGAATTTATACGATGCACAAAGCTTTTACAACGAAATGCATGGTTGCATATAAGTGTTATGTTATGTAAATCTGCCTATATAAAATTATTGTAAAATGTTTATGTATATCTTACCCATACATCTTATACCGTATACTGTTAAAAGCGGGGGTATCTTAACAAGGAAGTAAAAAATATGCTAATTTGGTAATTTATTGCACCAATATGGGTAGTTGTGTAAAATGTCTAGCTAAATCATCGTAAGAAACGCATAATATTGCAATAGATTCACAAGCATAAATATCAGTATATTAACGGAAAACCCCACATCAAAACATACTGGGAGCAAGAAAATATTGAGAAACATCTTTTTGGCTAACTTTGACGTGCAATTTAGCAACACCAAGTTAGGTACAATACTTATTTATTATTACGTCACGTTACAATGCTTTTTTATGTAATCTTGCATTGTTACGTTATGATTCACGGCAATATTTTCTCCCATTAGAAAAAGGTATACAGAGGTTATTCAACTAGTTAGGTTTGTCATGTTTATCTTACTCGACTAAGTTAATTTTTAAAGTGTATAGAGACACGAAGCGCATGCATACCGATCGAGTATCTTTTACTATTCGAATAAAAATAGAGTTAGATAAACATAAAAATCAACCATCATAAGTTTCTGGGGCCTTTTGTATGTTCATAATATATATAGAAAATCACATGTTTCCCATTAAAATACATTATAATTGTTTCCGATCGGGGAAGCAATTGCCATGACTCATCACGTACGTCACAATGGAAGATGACGTTGCAAAGTATTGTTAAGTGCCGTCATAATTAATTAAAACACTGACCAATGAAACACGTCCATTGTGTTTCCCATTAGTGCGTTAACAAATCTTTACCAACTCCTACCAGATTTAGCCAATGTGTCGGGAGTGAGGATGCCTAACATAATTATATAGTTGTTGAGGAAAATATATTTTCCAATCGGAACATGTGGTTTTCCAGATGAAATATGAACGTTTTATAAAATTTGAAATCAACTTATTCAAGTGGACTTAAAATGATAACCAAACATTATCTGTTGATCAGTCTATATCTATGCAAATTATACAGTTTTGTAGTGGTAAATCAGAAAGGGATATAGGCTGGGCGGTCCCTATCGCTACCGGGCGGTGTCAGGCTTTATCGGTCTGTGCGCGCTGTAATTATTCATCACAGGTGCATTCGTGGTCTTGACAATCAGAGGTAAACAACATGGCTGATACCGAGCAATCTGGTGTTACCGATGAAATCGCTGATGCTGCAAAGGCGGAGATAGAGAGAGCTATGAGCATGGCCCTTAAGGGAGTTACGAGTTTAGGTGGTGATAATTTTGAGGCAGAAACAAATGGATTGGAGAAAGAACTAGAAGACACCTCCAGAGTAGTAAGAGAAGATGTGGTTTACATGGAACCGATTCCAGATCCGTACGGCAAAGCAATCAAGTATTTGGAACAGCACAATATCCTACAGTTATTCCAGGTACATCCAATTTTATTCAAACGTCACAGTTCAAACCAGAAAAAAAAATGATTTTAGGAAATTGAGCTAAAATTTAATTTAGTACTTTGAATTAAATTTAAACAACACTTTTATATTATCCCGATCACAAAATACTGACCTGAATGGTGTTCAATCCAGTCACGTTAAAACGAGGAAATCTGGGCCTTTCTCACTCTGTAATATGCCACATCTTCATTATAACCCTGCCCTGCCTCCCAACCAAATAAGGTTAAATACAAAATATGTAAGTCATAGGGGCATATATCTGTCTGTCCAGAGATAAAATCTTGTCTGAACAAATCGTGTTAAGCATATTTCAACAAATATATGCATGATCACCATGTCATGTAGTTTATAGCCATTTATAACTCAATTCATATTATGACTTATTTTTTTTTCTCAGAGTTATTGCCCTTCTTTTACTAATTCATGTTAGTTCAAGGAAGGGTGCCAATTTGGGCGTTCTAAGATTTTGTTTAGGGTTTTGCTTCAATGTACTTCTGATGCATTCTGATGAACTCTAAATCTGCATCAAAACTTATTGATTTTTTTTAGCAAAGATGATTTATGTAGATCAGTGAATGAAGCCTCAAGCAATAAACATTATATCAGCCTCAATTCTTAAATCACCTACCCCAGTATTCTGGCCTAATCACTGTTCTTCATTTTGTGTTTTCTGCAGACTCTGACAACAAATATCGTCTACAGAAAGCCAGAGGACCCGTTGGCCTACATGATGAAGGAAGTAAAGAAGATGCAGAAACAGAAACAGGAAGCATAAAAAGTTGTTACGAGTCATAAAATGTGGAAATCTGGAGCTCCAGATACCGCCATTGTGAAAAAACCCTGCCACAATTTGAAGGCAAAATTAACAAATTGGTAACAGGATATAGTGAGATCACCAAGCATATCTCATTTCTTCTGGTCGTCTACCTAACTGGTGTCTTTCAATGTGTATATATATACTGTATCCTTGAATCGGTGGAAGAATGAAATAAAAGGGAAGCTCCTCCTGAACCAAGACGGGAAAGATCTCGGGGAAAGGACAGAATATATATAACTTGACAGATATATTTTGTGCTGTGAACAAACTTATCTTATCTAGAATGTTTATTTTAGCACTTTTTAGGTTAATTCTTGAGCATTAAGTACAGCATAAAAAAAGACATTTTGTACAAACAAGGACTTACTACGACAGAAAGATAATTATTGTAACAGTTAAATATCACAACAGCACAATTAGCATTACCTTGGGATACTGTTAAAGGGCCCAACAAAGTATAATATTGACTTAATTACGATTGAAACTGTAAATATATAACATTATACAGCATTGAGTTTTTTCAAGAATACTGAAACATTCCTTTAAACCAAATTGAATTAAAATCTGTTTACCCGCACTAAAAAATTAGGCATTCTAACATTACCGTATTTGATCTGTATTAAAACCCAGTATTGTGCTTTATTTATTTATTTATTTATTTTTTACTGTTGTTTGCGGTCTTTTAACTGGCTATGTGTTGTGATGTGCAATTAATGTGAATTTTTATTTTTTTCTTGGTTTTCTTTTGTATATACTTCACCTTCCTGTGTAAAAACATGTACATATCTAAACGTGTATTATAGGCTGAATTTATGTTTCATGTTCAACTTGTTCACTTAAATATTGGTACGTACAAGTGCTCTCCGGGTGATCAATTTAAAATTTGATGTAGAAATTAACTGCAACATACACAGTGATAAATCTACCCTGTACCTATAGAATTTCGATTTGACCGATATAATTTCTGAAAATACTGAAATTTAACATGGTGGGACCCATATCTTTTAACCATACAGTGGAAAAAGACCCATACAAACTAATTGTAGATTGATCACTGTATATAGCTTTAAAAGATATAGAATTTGATTTACCAATTATTTATGTGTTGGAGAGGGTTGGTTTCTGTGGTAATGTTTAATAAGACTATTGCCTAACTTAGCCATATTTTTATTCCTATGATACTATGGACTTAGCAGGTCTATATCCTTCAGAATAAAATATTTCATAAAAGTTCTTATTTCCAGTTTCATTCTTACTGATACACAGCAGGAGGTATGACCCCGCTGCTAGTCCTAATAACATTACAATCAAAGTTACCTTTGTATTTATATTGTGCCAAATTGTTGTTTATATGTTTTGTACTGAAATAAAATGACACTAGCTCTTTTAGGGATTTCCATGCCATTCTTGTATAAATCTGATTCAGATTTTGGATTACTGGAAAACTTCAAATGGATTACAGTCAACCCTGCTCAAGAGACCACCTCTATTAACCCTTTCACCCCTACTTAACTTTAGTAGACTCTACCATGCATTGATCTGGAGGAGTCCATTATGGTGGTGAAAGGGTTAAGACAACAAGCACCTTTGTGGTAACCGAACCTCTTATATGAGACCAACTGCAGTATGAAATGACTTACCGGTATGCACTTCCTAAAGGTGGTCTCTTAATACAGGGTTGACTGTATATTTTTATTAACCCTTTCACCCCTATGTAACTTTAATAAACTCTACCATACATTGATCTGGATAAGTCCGTTATGGTCTACAGTGGTGAAAGGGTTAAAGACAGCTTCTGTCAATGAATGTTAATTTATTTGATCAAATTTAAATATATGGATAGGTCAGATTTCATCATACATTGTATATACTGAATAAAGTAACATTACTGCATAATATGTTTGGTACTGTGATGGTAAATTAAATATGTAATCATAAATTTGTGTCTTTCTTTAATTTTCACACATTCAATAAGATTGAGCCTTTTAAAACATTAGGAACTGAAGTCGGTTATAACTTATAACAGTGTGAACCTTTAATTCATTATCTCACTGCTTGTTTGTTAATAGTGCATTGAATACGTGATTATCTTTATAGGATATGAAAAATATAATTGATAAATGTTTGTTTTTCAATTCAAAATATTAAAATATTTATAATTGATAGACAGATGTTTGTTTTTAATCAAAAATATTAAAATGTTCATCTTCATTTCTAATGCTGGTCAGCCTGTAATTTTCATTTTGTCTGTCGAGCATATATGGCAAGCCAACTTTCCAGTAACATTTAATTAAGGAGCATTGTTGATCCTTCATTTCATAAAATAATACAAGATTTATATGTTATACATTTCTTGCCCTTACTGTAGGGAATTCTGATTCTTTGTTTCTCCGAGGTTAATCATGTTTCATGAGGGCAACAGCAAGGGCAATATATATATATTTTATTATACTAAAAAACACCAATAACACAATGCAAAGTAGTAGAAATGAGATCAGGTTGACGCGCCATTGTTGATGTCCGATTCCTTTAATTGGAACTAGGTTGTGTTGGTACTTGCTGATGTTGTGATCTGGATTACACAAGGAAAACACTGCAGTAAATTACACGTTGATATATATGAAGACCTCAGGGACCAGAATGATGCATTTGTCATAAGAAGCAGGCTACACTTACAAAATGTAATTAAAATACATGTACATGTACTACCAAGTGGTTCAAAAATGAATTGCCACTTATCACAGATACATGTATGTGGTACGTTTTTGGGTTATTGTCTTTGTAAGACTGGATTGACGAAACAAGAAAACAAATGTCATGCATTTTAAATTAATTTATTGAGAATCTAACTGCTGTATATTTTAAATTATCTAATTCATTAGTAACATACTATAAAATACTACATAGTAACGTACACTTGTATCGTATGCTGGGTGATACAGGAATGCATATCACCTAGACCAGTATACCCTTGTATTGTAGCAGTAATGGTACCCTACACTAACATTATATCTATAGAGTATATTGTTAACATATACTGTGGCACTGTACCATACATTTCTATGTAAGTACACCATACTAGTACTTAACTATGTATTTGTACATCTGTACCATACATTTCTATGTAAGTACTCCATACTAGTACTTAACTATATATTTGTACATCTGTACCATACAATGGCACTGTACCATATATTTGTATATTAACCCTTTCACCACTGTAGACCATAATTGACTCATCCAGATCAATACATGGTAGAGTTTACTAAAGTTATATAGGGGTGAAAGGGTTAATACTCTACATCAGTACCTTACACTGATACTGTACCTTATAACTGTACTTCCTACAGATTGCGATCCCAATGTTTTTCAATATGCTGTGAACAGGAGTTATCAGTAAGAATAAGAAAAGTACAAATTATCACAATTATTCTATCATAACTCAGATTGCTAAACATAAAAAAAAATGTATTATGGCAGCTTTTGCACGTTGATCTTGCTATTAATGAATTAATCAACAACAAAAAATGAAACGAAAAAATAAAACAATTTCTAAATAGGCATTGACATTCGCCACAAAACTGACTCTATCTGCCACTTTTGACCACTGTTGGACAATCATCAAGTTTACAAACAACAGCATGTAAGTAACATTTCAGAAATGTATAAAATAAGTATAAAAAGGGAAAAAATATTGGAAGTTCTTGCATGAAAAACAAGGACAATAACATTCCATTTGTCATCACAAAGTGTACACTTTACAAAATACACCTGTAATTACCAACAAGAGGCCTAATGGGCTTGTCTCGCTTACCTGTTATTCTATGTAATCAATCTATAAGTTGGTCAAGGTAATTTTTGTCAAACAAGCTTAATGGCAATCAACCTCTCAGTAAAGGATAAATGTAGTTACTCTTCAGCTTATAGACCTTTGTTATAAGGTTTTAACTGATGTCATTTAAGCTAGATTAAGTTGACAGCCCTTTGCCATGCAAGGTAAAGGTAAAAGATCAATTCTCTATCTAGGTTTTACAGATATTAAAAGAAGAAATTGTTTAAAGATTCAAACAAATTTGACCACTAGAATTTAAAAATAAAATTAATGTCAAACTTAACAGCCCTTTACACTAACTTCCGACGGGTCAAATGTCTTGACCGTATGCCACTTGGCTAACCCAAAATAATTGTTTGAAATAAAAAAATTGCTTGAAATCAGTCAAGGTTATTCCTATGAACAAACTTGATAGTCCTTTATTCAATCATGCTTCTGATCGAACATCAGCATCATAATCCTCTTGGTTATTCAGAAGAATTCATTAAAGATCTTAATAAATTTGACCCTTGAGACCTTAAAGTGGGTAATTGTCAACTAATTGAACAAACATCACAAATCTTTTCCTAGCATGCTACAGGCTTAACATCATGACACTAGACTGCTTGGTTATTCAGAAGAAGTGGTTTAGCTGTTTTAACATATTTGACCCATGTGACCTTGAAAGTAGGTCAAGGTCATTTATTTTCACAAACTGGATATTCCTTCATCCAAGAAGGCCATTGGACAAACATCATCACCCTAGGTCCTGTGGTTATTTGAAAGAAGACATTTAAAGAGAAAAAAGTGATCTCAGACGAATAGATGATTGACAGAGGCCGCACCATAGCATAAGGTAACTTGGCCTTTTGGGCCAGGTGAGCTAAAAATAGTAAATCATTCTCTTCTCCCTGGAATCAAAACAACTGTGTTCAAGGTTATCATGATACTACAATAAATCTCTGCTAGTGTAATAGTACATGTACTATAAATACATAACCTACTGGTATACTATATAATCTACTATTATAACAACACCACATTATTCCACCTACAATCTAGGTAATATGATGTGTACGATATATACGTAAGTGTAAAGATTATAAAAAATTAAAGATTAAAAATGTAAAATGATCCTAAATATTGACACCGGACGGAGTCATCGATCCACATCAGACACCGGACGGAGTCATCGATCCACATCAGATACTGGACAGAGTCTATTTTCTCCATCACCACAACCAGTAAAGTCATGTACACAAAGTATAGTTAAGGCAGTTTTTGAAAAATAGTTTCATACAAACAACAAGCCATGGGGCCTTAAAAGCTCACAGATCTTTTTTTCCGATATAAAATATGTCAAACATAGTACATGTATATCAGAAGTACAATAAATACAAAATGAGGCATTTTTTGTTTTTATTATGAAAGTCTTTATTTATACTCCTACTGAGCCAGGCCCCTCTACCCAAAGTGTAGCCAAACCTTTAATGTATACACTGTTCCCTTGGTCATCAGATCCTTTCAACAAACAAAGTAGATACTCCCTGCATCAGTAAAGAATGGAGTAGTCATGTAAACATATACGTATCTCTTACTTCCCCATCAGAGCAGAATTTTTAAGAATATACTTTGTTTCCTCTTTTAAGCCACTCTCAACAAACAAGTTGACATTCCCTTTATCAGTAGTCAAGGAGTAGGATTTTAAATGTTCATTCCACTCTGCCTCAAGTGGGGGACACATCCTTCATTTATACAATATCTAGTCCCCCTGGTCCTGTGATCCTTCAGATATTTATTTATATTTCCCCTATTGGGCCCAATCCTTTCATAGCTAACCCATTGGCTGTTCTGGAGGAGTAGATTTTTTATTAAAAAGATGAAGGAACGACAAACAATAAATTATGGATGCTGCAACATGGCTAAAGCTCACATCAGGCCCTTGTGCCAGGTGATACAATACAAAAATACGGTAAATTTTGAGATTATTATTTGTATACATTTCAAAAAGAGTCTTTAAATCACAATTAACTTTAACAAAACATAATCTCATCATATTTGTAAATGAAATTATTCTGAGTGTAAACATTTACAAATTTCTTCCAAATTCATTATTTACATGATATTTGTACACCCTTATTTATAATTTTGTTACATTAACATTTACAAATATAATACAATGATGACGTAGATAACAAAATGTTTGTTAGGTCACAATGAAACAGTTGTCGGTCCTGACATTAGCTGCTGCTGAATTCTGGTAATCCAAGCTCCTTGGTAACCAGGTACGTTGCTTAGTAACCAGGTATAATGCTTGGTATCAAAGTCCTTGGTAACCAGGTATGTTGCTTAGTAGCCAGGTATAATGCTTGGTATCAAGCTCATTGGTAACCAGGTATGTTGCTTAGTAACCAGGTATAATGCTTGGGATCAAGCTCCCTGGTTACCAGGTATGTTGCTTAGTAACCAGGTATAATGATTGGTATTAAGCTCCTTAGTAACCAGTTATGTTGCTTAGTAACCAGGTATAATGCTTGGTATCAAGCTCCTCTGTAACCAGGTACATTGCTTGGTATCCAGGGCATTCTTTTATGTGCACTTCCATACAAATATGCTGCAAAGCAAAATGAAGTTTTATCACACAAATGTATAACAAAAATTGTCTTAGGATAAATCTGTTAAATTTATACAATGTTGACATTTAATAAACGATAAGAGCAGATTTTGTCAAACATATAACAAGATGTCAAATGAACCTAGCCATATTTGAAATCTGTGAAGATATTTACAGAGGCAGGTTAATTTTTGTCTAAATTTACCCCCTTTAAATGTGTAAGCTTGCTTCAGCATTGCCTAGGTGACTTAACAAACCACAGAGTTTGGCCTAGGACCAGGCTTGCATTTTTTTTTCAGTAATGGCTTACCTGCAATCATCACCTCCAGTGCTGATGAGAAACTTGTCATCAAACATGAATCTCACATTGGTCACATGGGCAGAGTGACCTACAAATGACTTATGCTGAGCCTGTAAAACAATAGATAAAACAAGTATATTAATAAACAGCTGACCAGTTATCACTTGTAATACAACCCATTGTGAATCTTGTACTTCATTGAAAAACAAATTTCACCGATTTACATATCTCTAATAAAATCTATATTAGCCCAGAGTCAATTTTCACACTTTATATGTTGAAATTGTTATAACATTAGCTATCATGATAACTTAACTCTCATTACAGAGAATGATTCGGGTTACAGTACAGCCAGTATTTCATGACATACAGTCTTAATTTAACTGAAATTGAAACACCATTAAAGATTCTTCTTTCTTTCCCAACTGTATAATCACAAACATGTACATTTTAATATCGTAAATATTCAAGGATAGTGCGCAGGTACCTAAGGAAAAATGAAAAGGTTAAGAAAGGGGTGCACACTATACACAAGAACAAAACCAGTCCTTGGTCACAACCATTTATCGTAATTTTTTCGAGGATTTTCGGAAATGCTTTGCCAGCAGCAATAAACTGTAAAAAGTTTTGTTTTATAACTTCTGATTGCATTGTCTAATTTACCATTCAAAAAGTGGCAAGTTACAACTCATATTATACGATAGAATCAGATAAATAAACTCGAGTAAAGAAGGCCTAACTTTTTGGTTGGTCTAATTGACTAGGTTGTGAATTGATTAATACAGCGTAAGGGAAAATATACCGAAGAATTGCATCGTAGTTAGCACTCTGGGGTTAAAGATGCCATTCTTGGGTAAAATCAAGCTGAAATACTTAAACGTGTGGGATATCATGATTGTGAGAGGACCTCATTACACTTCTGTCATTCTTGACGAAAGCATTTTATTTCTTGGATTTTATTGACATTAGCTTTATCTTTTCCAAGAACACCTTCTACTTACTTGTTTTTCTGGACATGGGAACTCAAACAGTTTGACAAATCCAAAATCATCCCCCGTTGCCAGGGCGTTACCAAGGTGAGAGAGATGGGAACAGTTGATATCTCCACCACTCGAGTCCTTCGGCCAGATTCCAAGTACCTCGTTACCCAGTGTACTGAAAAGTCAAGGTCAACAGTCAGACTACATATATATTGTATACTGATATAGGTGTTATTAGTAGATACAATGTGGACTTTAATATCCTATCTATATCCAACGTTTCCAAGCTTTCATGGTAAATACTCTTGATATAAAGTTTGATCATTCACCCCTGAAATTTCATAATAAACTATTCCAACCTTTGAAATGGAGGAGTTCAAATGTGTCTTCAGGGGCGAATGAGTAAATAAACATTAATTTGTCAATAATTGCTGGAGATATTAGGAGACCCTGTGTGCCCAAATCACAGGATATACCATAATATGACCCGTTATCCATGGGCTTATAAAAAACACAATGGGTTAATCTTATGTCCTTTAGAGAAACTGTTCTAATATATGACAATTTCAAACCTTGTCCATGATGCCCAAGTGATTTTATCAGTGATGTTGTGGTCCTCGACCAAGGCTCCACCGGGGACTGTGAAGACCTGGCGGATGTAAGCTCCTGTACTGACCTGGAAATATCAACATTGAATTTGTAGGATAAATCAATCTCATTAAGAAATTTGGTATTCATACAAATATATCACTTTCTTTGATCTTGACAGAGCACTAAGTCACATTAAAATGTTATCTTATTTAAGGAGCAACCTGGCTAAAAACAAGGTTACCAACAAGTTAAATATGATACACCTGTCATGTACCAGGTAACCAGCTGTTTGTATCATGGTAACATCTAATTATGAAATATTTGTGAAGGTTATTGGTGTTAAAGGAGAAATCATAGGATCTCAACTTGTCCGTGGCTTCATGGTGCACATGTATAGAATTAACGTTCTCATGAGGTGTGATTTTATCAACCAATGATACAGATACTTTCTGCAGTAGTACTTACCCTGATATACTGACTATCGGCTGAGAAGTCCATCTGGATGACAAACGTGGGGATGCCTTTGCAGTACCCTGCCCGCTGGAGTGACTTCCCTTTGCTGAGGTCGTAGAAATCTACACAACAATCCTCAGACCCAACTGCAAGTATCTTACCATCAGGGCTGAACCTAAATTAAACACAATTTGGTTTTAATATTTGGTGTAAACATTATTAATTAGTTGATTGATCATTTTTAGCAATAATCTGGACTAGATCCCGCAGGTAATCCTGGTAGTAATCTGGACTAGATATCACAGGTAATCCTGATAGTAATCTTGTCCTTTTCTTCATGCCCAGAAATGTATAAATCAATGCTAACAAGCTACTGGCCAAGGACTATTTGAACACATTTGACACCTGTGACATTGAATATATGTCAAGGTCATTTTTTTTCAACAGAATTTGCAGACCTTCATGCCAGACAGTTCCAATTCATGTACCTGACGTCATTGATGGCTCCTGCTCGGTCCCTTCGTTTCCCCCACAGCTTCAGTCCATTTGTTGTCAGCACAACAAACTCTCCATTCTTCAGACCTACAGCTAACATTTCACCATCCACACTGAACGCTGTGGACCTGGCAGCTCCGATGTCCAGTCTGGCCACAGTAGCCTGACACAGAAGGAAAAGGTTAGGATAATGAATGTTCATAGCGTAACATGTTTATGTTAAAGAAAAACCGACACTAATTTACAATGGAAACATTGCAGAAGTCTCCCAGTCTATGATTGCAAACAATTCACCACAAAGAGAGCACAGTGCCACTATACACCTATACATTGTTTTATCAAAGTCGGAAAATATTTTAATTTGAACCAATCAGTGGGAGGCTATGGTGGCCATCCTGTCTGATTCAAAAATGGAAATTGTGGTGGAGTTTGCAGTGCCATTATAATTATTTATATTCTAATTCTGATCAAACTATTACAATATTTATTTTTTTACCAATCAAAAGGCTCCATGATGAGTTCTTGTGAAACAAGTAGTGCATTGCCTTACATTTACAAGCACAAATGTAAATTTTTGTTCAATTCTGCCAGATGGTTTTTGAGAAAAAAAATTAAAACAGGAAGAAATAAGAACGAATTCTAATTGTTACTACCCCAAACGACCTACAGCAGCCATCTTGTCAAATCAGGAAAGGGAAAATACCGTCAAGTACAATAGTGCAATCAATATGTACCTGTCTTGACCATAAGGAGAAGAGCTCTGTTTTACAGGGGATTATACAAGGTTAATCCTTCTCATATGCAGTGACAGTGAAGTTACAAACTGAAGGGCAAAGCATTCTTACTTTCCGTTGGTTATTTCATGATACTGGCTTAGTTTGTATTGGCGTTTGCATGTACAATTAAGACTACAAAAAGTTGACAAATATTGAATATTGACAGCACTCACCTTTTTAGAGAGGTCCCAGTACCTGACAGTGCCGTCGAAGCTGGCAGTAACAAAACAGGGACTTGTGGGATGAACATCGAGGCCCCAGACTTCTCCCTCTGCGTGGCCCCCAACTAACACGGAGTTGGTCCCACTCTTCTCAGCCACCTCAATCACTGTATTATCCTTTGTCCCGACCAGGATTTTACCCTGAGGAAAACAAGCAGAATTGTTTATATAATTTATATAATCTTTACCCTAAGGGTAAGATTTACTGGCGAGATAAATATTAAGATTTACAGTATATACAGGTAATGAATGTCTGATGTTGTTTTAATCAACATTGTTTTTTCTACCTCTTTTTTACAGGCTGCATACTTTCCAACTCTCCCTATTTTGGAGGGAGACTCCCGATTTCGGACCCTTAACTCATTCACCCCTACAAATCTAAACTAGACATGCCCAGTTTTTGAATTGGTAAGGTTTAAATTTGACTTAAGGGGTGAAAGGGTTATATTTAGCATTTCCAACCAGTGAATTTTCCTGTATTCTCAGATTTAGTGATTTCATATGCCATTTTCAGGTGTTATTTTTTTCTAAGATATATAAGAACATTTTATTTATGTTTAATTTTGAGCAGGGAGAATCTCCCCCATGGAATTTATAAAAGTATGATAGGGGCCTGTGCCTGGGGACTACCAAGAAAGTATCACATACAAAAATGATTCAGGGGGAGAAAAAAAAGAAAATTGCACTAATTTTGGGAAAATAAAGCTGAAAATATCCAGAGGAAGCGGCCTTATAATGGAACCAAATTTTCCTTAAAAATATTGCCGAAAAATATGTTCTCTTAACCCTTACAAGCATGTTTCTGACATATATCCACACACAGATGTCAATGGTGAACACATAAAACAGTATATATTAAAATCCACAGTATTATACCTGAAGTGATGTCTTTCTGTTGTTCTGTGCAATGACTTGCATTGATTTTGCTATATATCTGTAATTTTAATAGTAATCACTTGTACTGTGGTTTCCAAATCTTGACGAGTCTAAGTTATTGTATATACAAGGCAAACATCTTGACTCCAGGCATTGTGAATTACAAGAGGTTGCTAGAAGCTTTTCAAACATTTGACCCACATGACATATTGAGTCAAGGGGATTTATGTGAACAAACTTGATATGCCCTTCACTTGAGCCAGCTACATACCATATATCCACTACTTTATTACCCAATGAGTGAGGTCTTACATCTAATTCCCGGTTTGAACTGGATAGTTACCTTTGTTCGGCACACAGACTTGACAACTGAGGGTTTCAAATTTCCTTCCTGTACAGAAAATGCACGGCACCTCTTCATCTCCTGGTCCCATAGCTTCACGGGTCCACTTTCTCTTGAACTGCAAAAAATACAGAAAACTTAAACGGAAGCCATGTGGAGCAAAGAGTGACTTACTGTTAATACATACAATAAAGTTGGTGTCATGTGCTTGCCTAGATAGAGAAAGGTCAGCAAAATGACAATAACTTTTATAAGTATCTGTATTCATCTTCTTGTGCCAAGCATTGGTATGAATGGTTATAGGGTTAGGATCGTGAATGTCTCAATGTCATGACCCATGGATCAAGTCCTCACTAGCAGGAGCAGACCCTGGGCCAATCATGACTGCATTCTCTTCATGCTCAACAAGTAAGTATATGGTTACAGGGTGGGGATCTTCACTGTTTCCATGTTATGACCTACGCACTAACGCTCCAGGGGACGACGGGATACAGGTAGAACATGGTATGTCTAACTGTAAAATGAATGTGCTTACTCTGGTTCCTTGCCTCCAGTTACAATGAGGCCATCCCTCAGGGTGGTAAACATGGTAAAGACAGGGCCGCTGTGAGCTTTCTGTACCAGTCTGACAAGTGTTGTGTCCTTCCAGACATACACATCCCCACTCATGGCTCCAGTGTACGTCATGTTGTTCTGTAAAACAAAAGATGTGTAAACTGATAAATTTGTCTCCACTCATAGCTCCAGTAATCTTTGGCCCAAAAGAACTGAAGTAATCATTATTACTATTTCCCTGCCATTCAATGGTCATGGTGTCCATCTTGATTCCTGAAATTTTGGTCAAGTTGGTCATACTGAAGTTATACTTTTTTTCATACTCAGCCATTCAGAAGCAAGTTCACAATTTTAATCTAGCTTAAACGTTGATTTGTGTTCTTCACACAAAGAGAGAATTACATAGGTTTACCACTTTTCACTCCAGTGCAACTAATAGAACAGAAGTTATGGTTTAGATATATATGTTAATTGTCCATTTACATTTTCTATTTTGGAGTCATGTGTTTTCATTCAGGATGCTACACACATAAATAGAGATAATATCCACTGATCCACCATTTTGAACAAGTAATCAAAACTTTAATTCATTTTTTACTTTAAAGCAAACTTACCGCCCCAAAGGCTAATGAGAGCATGGTCTGCATTTTGACTGTCGTCCCGTGGTCCGTCCCTGCTATGGTCAGTATGCCACGTTTACCTCTCAGCTCACAACCTGCTACCGTCCAGAACTTGACATGTTTCACGCCAACAGTCACAAACTGACTATCGGAGTCGGGCCGAAACTCTGCTTGGAAAATCCTCTGGCTGTGTCCCGGAACTGTTCCTACTTTAGACCCTATAATAGGCAAGAGGATATATAAATATCATCTTCAGTACACATCTAAGAACTTTTAGCTGACAGAAACGGATGTCTTCTCTTCACATCGAATGCACGATAGGAATGGGGGGAAAAGGATGAAATACAAATGATAGGAGAATGTGAATCTCTACTGAACCAGCTACAGATACCATCAGGTGTGAGGACATGCAAGCATTTCCTGATCCACATGGGGTACAGATTATACAGTGAAATGAAGAGAGTGACAGAATTGTTTTTGTTACTTAAGGAGCCATAATTCATGAACTACGGGACTACACGCCACGGCAAAACAAGCAGCTTAATGCACCTGTATCATTCATCTTCAAAGGTCAAGGTCAAATTTTACAGCCAACAAGCTAACACAAAGCCCCCTTTTGCATATCTGGTTTAACCGGTTTGTCTGTTTTTAAATGTAACATTTTTCGGGTATAAATCCTGGCAGACCTGCAAATGTTTATGTAGGCCTTGCAAGGCTTTGTCAAGGCTCGCCTGAAAGTAGCATTAGATAACTAGGTCTGACCTTATTTCATAAACAAATGACTGTGGTCCAATCGGTTCAACCGTTCGGATCGTGATAAACAAATGCAGCCTATATGTTTTAGCTCTTTTAACAAATAAGACCCTCGTTACCTTGAAAGTAGGTCAAGGTCATTCATTTGAACAAAATTGATAAATTGACGTTGCTTGACCTCACACTAACCTTCCTGCCACCTCCACACAATCACATTGTGGTCATCTTCAAGTCCAACGGACAGTAAGTATTTCCCTGAGCAGGAGAAGTCCACAGCACAAACACCTTTAGAGTGACCTCCACTTAGTATCGACTTTGTCTCCTTGGTAGAGGCATCCCACACATGTATAGTTGGAACAGTTCCTATCTGGCCAGACGCCATCACATTCTTAAACTTTGGATTTTGATTCACGGCAAGACAAATGATGTCATCTGTGTGTTCTAGGTAAAAGCTCTGATGACCTGAAATCAAGTAGATAAGTATTATATAAGTGTGATCAACAGTAAGTGTAAATGTACACTATACACAGCCATGTCCTAATTTTCAGCGCATCATAATAATTTGTGCATGAACATTATTTCTGAGACTGTACATAATTTTCAACATAATTTTTAGTAAAAAATATGTGCATTTTTTATACGCGACATTAAAACAGTCATTTTAAATGAACTATAGTTGTAACAGTTTTGGCCTGTCATGGTTAGATTCATTTATGATGCTTCTGTAGTGATATATAATTATGCAACGTAAGTGCTGTAATTAAGTGGAATTAAATGTAATTGGTGGATTAAGTATAAAAAATGCGCCAAATTATATGACAAACATGAGTTTTAGAGAACACATAGGTAGCTATATTTGAGTGATAAACTTTACCATTCAATCAGCAAACCTAGTTTTGGAATCCAATTCCACCAAAAGCCAAAAGACCATGTGTAAACACAAAGTTGGAAAATGCTCTACCTATTATTGGAGTGATTAAACCATGAGTGTTTAGGTGCACCGAATATCCCGACAGATCTGCACACAGAATATCCCGACAGCTCTGCACACATTCAATTGTCTACATACAAAGCTATTTATATTTGTCCCATTAAATTCAAATGGACTATATTTACCATTGTATGGTATTGCCACTGTATAACCCTACCACATTCAGATGGCATTCATAGGCTATGAATGCCATGACCTGATCGATAATGTCATCATAATTGTTACGTAAGATACCACTGACCCTCCATTGTACAAACTAATTGCTGAATAATAAGACTAGTGTAATTGATTTTTTTATGACATGAAATTCTGAAATGGTAAATATAAGTATTAAACTGCTTTCAGCTGGCATTCATAGGCAATATGAGTGCCAACTGAAAGCAGTTCAATGCATTGGGCTTTGGCTTTTGGTGACTGTGACATCACTGGCATTGTTGTAACATAAAATTGCGTTTGGCTAGTATGGATCAGGAACTGTTAACTAAACATGTACATAAAAATTACACTAACAGAAGACTTTCTTATGAGTGTTAATTTTTGGTACACTGACAATCATTTTTTTTTAAGCAGCTGGCTGAATAAAGCCCCCAAAACTTGCTATAATGTACTTACCTGAAGACAGGTTTTGGACGATGCCTGCTCCAGCTGTGTGGAAGATGATGTCAGCACCGTCGTTTATATAATGTAGGTTGTTACGAGAATCAAATCCTCGGTAACCAAACACATAATCCAACTGAAGATCCTACATACAAAAACATGTTTCAATTACTGTAAACTAAAGACTTTATTGTAAGCTGATGACTCATTATAAGCCAATGGCTGATCTTACACTGAAGACTTTATTGTAAGCTGATGACTTATTATAAGCCAATGGCTTATCTTACACTGATGACTTTATTGTAAGCTGATGACTCATTATAAGCCAATGGCTTATCTTACACTGAAGACTTTATTGTAAGCTGATGACTCATTATATCTTACACTGAAGACTTTATTGTAAGCTGATGACTCATTATAAGCCAATGGCTTATCTTACACTGATGACTTTATTGTAAGCTGATGACTTACGGTTACTTGTGTTGCCTTTTTTCTCTTTGACCCTGCAGATGGAGCCTCTGACCTTTTAACCTTGGGAGGTTGTGGAGGTTTGCGCTGGAAACCAGGTCTTTTCGAAAAAGGAAAGAAAAGTCAGTTAAGATACCGCATACAAAATATGATCCAGAGAAATCCCAGGTTTATTTTTTCTTGCATGCACACCTTGTCACATTCATCCCAAAAATCATTTGTGATGCATATCTTCAATCTTTCATACTTATCAAATAAATCATCAATCACGCGTTATTGTCAAAAAACATCATTAATCATGTATAATTTCATCTAAAAGACAGATATATAGTTACTTTTTCTGCAGCCCAGCTCCGTCTTGAAGATGGGGTTTTACACCCTTCCTCTCTCTGATGGGATCTACGTAGCTCTTACTGGCATAGTCTAAGTTCTTCTCTCGTTCTACGTCACTGTCGTAGCCTGTGGAGACAACAAATATATTTTAGGTAAAGGCAACAATTTTTAGTGTGATTTTTTGAAGCATTGAGATTGTCAAAGCAACAAAAACAACAGGCAGACAGGGCCTGTATCACTCACTTGTTATTTAATGGTGCTGGCAACCAGACAATCAGAGGTTATATAGGGGTAACATGTTATTATATCATTTATTTAAAGGATCCTGATTTTGAACAGACCTTCAACAGTGTAAGAAACAAGCCAACTTATTAGTCTAGCATTACAGTTCTTTAGAACTTTTCAACATATTTGACGGAGTCAATTTTTGGATATCCTTACAGGCCAACTACCATAATTCAATTTTTAAACATTGAATTCCTGTGACTTTGAGCATCCATCAAGGTCTTTTATTTCAATGACTTTGACAGCTGTTTATCCCAGCAAGAAAAGAAAACATAAATGGATATAAAATGCCCTTCCGTAATACATCCAATCAAGATGAGATCATGAAATGATGCATAAGAATACTTCACAGAAATAATACAATCATAATTGAAGCAGATGGTGTCCATACCTCCCTCCTCCTCGGAGTCCGTGTCCGAGTCATCACTATCCCCACATGTGACTGGGCCTGCCTCTGTCGGATTACCGTAGCGCCATACCATAGTGGCAGTGTCGGCCCCGCCAGTAGACACCAACAGGTTATCGTCGCAAGTAAATCGCACATTGGTCACATGGGCACTGTGGCCAACATACTTCTTGTGCTTAGCAAACTTCTCCTGAAGATCAAATAAAGATATTACATTTAGTGATGTGAAGAAGAAATCACATCAAAGCAACTGATATTAATATAGTTTATATTACACAGATTATATAGCAGGAAAAACAGTGTTTCATAAGAACATGAAATCAAACAAAAAGTGACATAAAGTGAAATAATGCTAAGTGGAAAAATACTGTGGTTTCTGATGAAGTTAACAATAGAAGGACAGACAAAGGAATAAAATCCTTTTCTGCTTTATTTCATACAGAATCCATGGGTGGGTAATTTCATATTCTAAGACATAGCCAGCAGGTAAATTAAAACAATTCTTCTGGCCCATGCTATATCTAACATTAACAAATGTTCACGAGCCCCAACGTACAATCTACCAGTCCCAGACACTGCGTGCCAGGGGAGCGGTTCACTAGCCCCAACGTACAATCTACCAGTCCCAGACACTGCGTGCCAGGGGAGCGGTTCACTAGCCCCAACGTACAATCTACCAGTCCCAGACACTGCGTGCCAGGGGAGCGGTTCACTAGCCCCAACGTACAATCTACCAGTCCCAGACACTGCGTGCCAGGGGAGCGGTTCACTAGCCCCAACGTACAATCTACCAGTCCCAGACACTGCGTGCCAGGGGAGCGGTTCACTAGCCCCAACGTACAATCTACCAGTCCCAGACACTGCGTGCCAGGGGAGCGGTTCACTAGCCCCAACGTACAATCTACCAGTCCCAGACACTGCGTGCCAGGGGAGCGGTTCACTAGCCCCAACATACAATCTACCAGTCCCAGACACTGCGTGCCAGGGGAGCGGTTCACTAGCCCCAACATACAATCTACCAGTCGCAGACACTGCGTGCCAGGGGAGCGGTTCACCCTCTGGTAGAATCTCTGTAAAACCTACCTTAACTGGGTACTGGAAGAGTTTCACAAATCCAAAGTCGTCAGCTGTAGCAATAACACTCTTGTCGCTGCTGACACAGACAGCATTTACATCAGTGACATCACTCTTGGGTGGCCACACCCCCTCACATGTGTGTCCCAACACCGAGGTCCACGTCACCCAATCCAACTTCTCTATTTCAGCATGCCGCAGAGTGACACGGTTCCCCCGGGGCGCCTCAAAGAAAAGTTGCTCTTTGGCACCACTGTTCACCATGAGTACTTTTCCTGTAATGTAACATTCAGTAAAAACCATCAGCTTTTTGTAGCGACTTAGGCGAAACTGGATAGAAATCATTGGTTTAGAGCCGTCACGAAGTGATCCCCTTTCTCTACAGAAGGTCAATGGGGAGATCTCCTCACACTGGAAATGTCTTGTGACATTTTTGTGAAAATCATCAAGACAACAGCAAACATGTATACTACTTATACTAAGCAAGAGATTCACAAGCCTGTTTATAGGACACACAAGCATTTTTGGTTAATTTATCATTTCTTCTTAGTGAAAGTTTAGAAAACAGTCTTGAACAGTGTCTTTCTATGATGCCATAAGGCACACTATTGGCTCAAAACAGAACAGTTAACACTTGTGAACTAACAACATGACAGACTATTGATGTCTCTGATGACTTCAGACATTCATCTTATCCAATATTTGTGATCAAAGTTAGTGAAGCGGAAAATATAGGTCACAGTGACCTACATGTCACAGAATGGTGCCGTTCTCTTCAAAAAGTATATGTATATAAAGTTTTATGACTTTAGGACTAGCAATATCAGAGTAATTGAGCTAAACCTGAAGTCTAACCACAAATATCGCTCCCAGTCTACGTGTGTGATGTAACTGGAGGCCCATTTACAAGTTCTACACAAATGTCCCTGTATCTGACACTGAAGAGAATGACTACCCACCTTTTCGCTCCCAGTCTACGTGTGTGATGTAACTGGAGGCCCATTTACAAGTTCTACACAAATGTCCCTGTATCTGACACAGAAGAGAATGACTACCAACCAGTCCGGTCCCAGTCTACGTGTGTGATGTAACTGGAGGCCCATTTACAAGCTCTACACAAATGTCCCTGTATCTGACACAGAAGAGAATGACAACCCACCTTTTCGCTCCCAGTCTACGTGTGTGATGTAACTGGAGGCCCATTTACAAGTTCTACAAAAATGTCCCTGTATCTGACACAGAAGCGAATGACAACCCACCTGTCCGGTCCCAGTCGACGTGTGTGATGTAACTGGAGGCCCATTTACAAGTTCTACACAAAAGTCCCTGTATCTGACACAGAAGAGAATGACTACCAACCTGTCCGGTCCCAGTCTACGTGTGTGATGTAACTGGAGGCCCATTTACAAGTTCTACACTAATGTCCCTGTATCTGACAGAGAAGAGGATGATAACCCGCCTTTTCGCTCCCAGTTTACATGGGTAATGTAACTGGAGGCCTGTTTACAAGTTCTACACAAATGTCCCTGTATCTGACACAGAAGAGAATGACTACCCCCCTGTCCGGTTCCAGTCTACGTGTGTGATGTAACTGGAGGCCCATTTACAAGTTCTACACAAATGTCCCTGTATCTGACACAGAAGAGAATGACTACCCATCTTTCCACTCCCAGTCTACATGGGTAATGTAACTGGAGGCCTGTTTACAAGTTCTACACAAATGTCCCTGTATCTGACACAGAAGGGAATGACTACCCACCTTTTCGCTCCCAGTCTACGTGTGTGATGTAACTGGAGGCCCCCTTACAGGTTCCAACCCTCTTCTGGTTTAACACGTTATAGATGTCCACAAAGTTGTCATGGGAGGCTACAGCCAAGTACTTCACTGGATCTGTAAACATCAGCCGAAATGTTTATTACTCAAATATGTACATCATACAGGCTTAAAACATTGTGTAACACTATATATTTTCATTTATGTTTCTTCAGTTAATGACAGTGTATTTATAGGAAATCTTTTAATTCAATGCCTTAAAACTGCTACTTTTAATCTCACTGAATTTGGGATGTCAATTGGAGCTTTTATTTGTATTATAAGGAAATTCATGAAAAATTTGGTTTCTGAATCAGGCAGTCTGTATCTGTCTGTCCAGATGTGTAGCTGTTTTGTCTCAGTTTTTGTTTGAGTGATGGACAAAAAGGTGTTTTCTCAGTTCCTCAACTTGTTTGTGTTTAATCAGTGTTATAAAGTTCAGGTGCAGTTCATGAATGTCAATGTTTATCAGTGAGAACCAGGGGAGTTTTAGAATTATTTCATGAGATGAGTAATATTTAAATGGTGTTCCTAAAAATAAGGACAGAGATTGGTGGTTTGTAGACATGGGTGCTTGGTTGAGATGTTATCCTAATGTTAAGGACAGAGATTGGTCGTTTGTAGACATGTGTGCTTGGTTGAGGTGTTATCCTAATGTTTAGGACAGAGACTGGTGGTTTGTAGACATGGGTGCTTGGTTGAGATGTTATCCTAATGTTAAGGACAGAGATTGGTCGTTTGTAGACATGTGTGCTTGGTTGAGGTGTTATCCTAATGTTTAGGACAGAGATTGGTCGTTTGTAGACATGGGTGCTTGGTTGAGATGTTATCCTAATGTTTAGGACAGAGACTGATGGTTTGTAGGCATGGGTGCTTGGTTGAGATGATTTCAGTCTTTGGTATTTGGGTAGTAGGTATTCCCGTTTTACCAAATAAACATATGCTACCGCAATTTACTATAGAGCTGACTTTTGACACAAATTCTCCACCACTTGTTCATCACAATAGTCTTTACAGTAACTGTACAAACCTGGGGAAAATTTGATGTCCGAAATTTCTTCCTTTCTGTGGTGGAAGGTCAAAATCTCATCCATCGTGTCAGAGTTAATGACCATAAAACTTCCTGTAAGTGAAAAACAGACAATATTTCAGAAAACAAATACGTAAACATGTGGACAAAAATGCAACAGTCAAGTTATTAATATAAATAAACACCCAAGTAATAAAGGTTTTTCTAATTCATGATAAAATTTTACCGTCTTTCAGGCCCACAGCCAGAAATTTGCCGTCTGCGGAGAAGTCGACACATCTGCCTGCCTGCTTGAGCAGTTTGTAGTTGATCATTTTGTGGTCTTTGAGGTCCCAGATACGGAGCGTCTTGTCATCGCTGACCGTCGCACACACCTTCTTCCGTGGGTGAACAACAAGGCCCCATAGTTCTCCTTCCATGTGGCCCTGTGTAACGTATGCCATATCTTAATAATGACATCATTTCAGAATGTCAACCATAATATTAAAAATTATTTCCCATGGCAATTTCATTTCTGTGGCCGATTGTGGAGTTTCGATGTAGACATAATTAATGTAGGATCCATATATTTGATCAATATGAATCTGCCTTCTAAATTTGGTTGAAATCTTACCATTTCTAGGGCAGTTACTAAACAGAAACAAACTAACCAATCAGAATTGAGAAGCCTCATTGATTATGCATCAACATTCATGCATTACAATGATGATCTCAATTAGCCTAAAACTTACCGTTATATGCGTATATACGTATAGCAAATTTGGTTGAGATCTTACTTTATAAGGGCATTTACTGCATGGAAATCAATTAACTAATCAGAAATGTGTAGTTTCATTAAATATGCATAAATATGGTATGCATCACATGGCTGATTTAACTTATCCTGAAAGTTGCCATCAGATATGTGAATACTTGATTGAAACTGATCCATGTTGAAGGCAGTTATTGCACGTAAAACAAAAAACTACCCAGTAACCAAGATGAAATGAGAAGCCTTTCTAATGTACACCCATCAGATAGGCAATCAAACACAGCCTTAAACTTACCATTATATAAGAACTACAAAATTTGGGTTGAAATTAAACCATTTTTAGGGCGGTTATCACATGCAAATCAATTCACCAATCAGAATCTAGTAGCCTCATCAATTATGCATAAATATGCAGAATCACAAGTTGCAGAAATAGAGTTGGGATGGGCAGAGGAACAAACCTACAAGCATCAGTTGATATAAAGGTGTATATTGTTGACCTACCTGTGTGAGCAATGTCACCGGACCAGACTTGTCAATCTCTAGCACCTCTCCATTACGTGTGCCCACTAGAATCTTGCCGTGTCCCAGAACTATAGCTCTGATGGACGGGGACTCGGTTATCAACATCCCTCGTGACGTTTGGGAGATGGAGGCTTGTTTTAAAGAATAGGTCTTCAAACATCGCTCGAACTGGTCGTCCCACAGGCCTACCACACCATCCTTACCTCCAGTCACGAAGCCCTGCAAGTGGTCAGCAATTCATTTCTCAGTCTATAAGAGTGGATTTATGTAGAGAGACCCAACACTTTTCTACTGATTGAGTAGGCCTTGAAATTGTTTGTAGATAAAACATAAGAGTGCTGGGATCAACTTTATTGTCTTTGTGGACCAAGAATGCTTGACAACTGTTCACTTCATATTAAAATATCAACAAATGAATTCAAAATGCTTTGAGGAAAATCAATCCATGGGCTGTTTATATACATACACTGGTAATACATGTGGACTAGTTGAGAATTGAACCGTAAAACTGTGTAAGTGTTATGCAAGTACAACTGTAAACTAATATTTTGCAAGAGGCTTAATTTTGTCCGATATGTCCACATCATAATGCTCAGCCACATTGTTATTACGAGTACATAGTTTGTATCATCTATATGAATTCAAACCTTGTCGAGGGAATGCATGGCAAAAACAGGACCCTCGTGTGCCTTCACTGTACGCTGGAGTTTGGTGTCCTGCCAGACAAACACACATCCGTCACTGCCTCCAGAGTAGAACAAATCGGCTGCCTTCCCGAACGTGATACATAGCATGTCACACAACTTCGCCACGTTCCCAAATGTTCCGCGACTCGATGTGAAACCTCCACCTGGCGAAAAAACAGAAAGGTTAGTTAACATAGAAAATCACACATAGTGAGGATTATATAATCTTGCTTGATGCTTTTCAAACCTACAGATAGCTACAGATACATGGGCCACATTTTCAGCTAGCAATCCACATGTATTTCACCTTATAATAACATACATTTATTTCCCATGGGGTAGGGAAATATGACCCTTTGTCGATGTTTCCCCTCAATTTATCTTGTTTCACTGAGGCAAAGAGTAAACTTGGTTAGATGATTGAGAGAAAACAGAATTCTTCCACAATCTTATACTGAAATAGAACAATACCACAACAGTAACAATGACCATAATTTGCATAATCATTATTGTTGTCAGATTTAATCGTTCAGAACTCAAAGTGATACCACTTACTAATTTTTCTCCAAATGAGGAAAAATATGCCCCAAAAAAGTCAAGCACAAGAAGGAGGAAACACAGAGTTTTACTCTCAAGTCACATGATCATTATAAATGTTATCCAATCAGATATGCAGTTATATATAGATGACATTTAATAATATTTTTGCAAAAAAACATATTTGACTGTGAACTTCAATATCATGCTAATTGCTAAAAATAGTATTTATAGCAAGATGACAATAACTTTGTTGATATTAACAAACCTGTATTTCACATTTCTCCCCAAAGAACTTTTTACACACTTATTAACATATGATCACAACCTACCTGTTTGTGTCCAAAACTTAATGTGTTTTACTCCAACAGTGATAAGCTTGTTTGGCTCGAATGGATTCCACTTTATCACAAATATCTTGTCCTTGTGGCCTCTGAAAACCATAAATGACAGAAATTATGTAAAAAGCAGTTCAACAAGATTTCTGTATTGAAATCAACTGATTTGACCTCTGAATAAAATGATCAGCCAATCTCATAAATCCAACTGATAAATACAATCAAAACAAGAGGGAGACACGTCCTTCAATTACAATGTTGAATTCCCTTGGTCCTGGGAAGCGTCATGCCAAATAAGGTCAAAACCCCTTCACCAGTACTTAAGGAGAAGCCTTTACTGATCAGCTCACATTTCCCCTATAGGGCCTCATCATTCTTTCCCATGGGGCCACACCCCTTTTCAACATGATATGCTGAATCCATTGACCCAAAATGTTGCTCTAGACCAAATTTAGTAAAAGTCTGTTTTGGTGTTGTGGACTAATTTTATTTTGAATGAAAAGTTGATGCCAGATGATACCAATGTCCAATTGCTATATTATGTCACCTATTTACTCTGTGAGTGTATTATAAATTACCTTGTGGTAGCCAGTTTCTCTGTATTACTGTATTACCTTGTGGTGGCCAGTTTCTATGTATTACTGTATTACCTTGTGGTAGCCAGTTTCTTTGTATTACCTTGTGGTAGCCAGTTCTCTATATGTATTACTGTATTACCTTGTGGTAGCCAGTTCTCTGTATTACTGTATTACCTTGTGGTATACAGTTTCTCTGTATTACTGTATTACCTTGTGGTAGCCAGTTCTCTGTATTGCTGTATTACCTTGTGGTATACAGTTTCTCTGTAGTACTGTATTACCTTGTGGTAGCCAGTTCTCTATATGTATTACTGTATTTCCTTGTGGTAGCCAGTTCTCTGTATTACTGCATTACCTTGTGGTAGCCAGTTTCTCTGTACTTCTGTATTACCTTGTGGTAGCCAGTTTCTCTATATGGATTACTGTATTACCTTGTGGTAGCCAGTTTCTCTATATGTATTACTGTTTTACCTTGTGGTAGCCAGTTTCTCTGTATTACCGTATCACCTTGTGGTAGCCAGTTTCTTTGTATTAGTGTATTACCTTGTGGTAGCCAGTTTCTCTATATTTATTCCTGTATTACCTTGTGGTAGCCAGTTTCTCTATATGGATTACTGTATTACCTTGTGGTAGCCAGTTTTTCTGTATTACCTTTTGGTAGCCAGTTTCTTTGTATTACTGTATCTCCTTGTGGTAGCCAGTTTCTCTATATGTATTACTGTTTTACCTTGTGGTAGCCAGTTTCTCTGTATTATTGTATTCCCTTGTGGTAGCCAGTTCTCTGTATTACTGTATTGCCTTGTGGTATACAGTTTCTCGGTATTACTGTATTTCCTTGTGGTAGCCAGTTTCTCTGTATTACTGTATCACCTTGTGGTAGCCAGTTTCTCTATATTTATTACTGTATTACCTTGTGGTAGCCAGTTCTCTATATGTATTAATGTATTACCTTGTGGTAGCCAGTTCTCTGTATTGCTGTATTACCTTGTGGTATACAGTTTCTCTGTATTACTGTATTACCTTGTGGTATCCAGTTCTCTGTATTACTGTATTACCTTGTTGTAGGCAGTTTCTCTGTATTACTGTATTACCTTGAGGTAGCCAGTTCTTTGTACTACTGTATTACCTTGTGGTAGCCAGTTTCTGTGTATTATTGTATTACCTTGTGGTAGCCAGTTCTCTGTATTGCTGTATTACCTTGTGGTATACAGTTTCTCTGTAGTACTGTATTACCTTGTGGTAGCCAGTTTCTCAGTATTACTGTATCACCTTGTGGTAGCCAGTTTCTTTGTATTACTGTATTACCTTGTGGTAGCCAGTTTCTCTGTATTATTGTATTACCTTGTGGTAGACAGTTTCTCTGTATTACTGTATTACCTTGTGGTAGCCAGTTTCTCTCCTTTCCTCCAGTCCCACACCACTATACAGTGGTTATCATCTAGTCCAATGGACGCTAGTCTTTTACCATCACCTACAACAGCAGATCATTGCTATCACCAGTATATATACCACAGTATCCAAACTAAGTATAAGGAAATTTAGAAAAAAATAACTGAATTAATTCATTCTGCTTTATATCCCTTTGTCTTTTGTCAGTGAAAAAATGTTGGCAAGGCCTCAAATAAGAATTCTAGGTTTTACAAGGCCTGAAGCAAATCAACCTTTTTGCAACACACCCTGCTTAATTCCAGGTTTTTCTAGGCCTGTGTGCGAATTGTTGAACTGTTTTTGTACACCTGTTCGATACTGCACTCTTACCTGAGAAGTCTACAGCACACACTCCTCTCTGATGCTGGCCCTTTAGTACCGACACAGTCTTGAGAGACTCTGTATCCCAGACATGGACCTCTGGATCACGACCCACCTACCAACAAACAGGGCTATGTAAAACATATTTGTTCAGAACTGATTTTCTACTGAAAAGGTAGGGACACACTAAATCAATAAAAGGTTTGCACACCCCTCCATAAGCCCACAGGAAATTCATACCTGGTGAGTCCAGAACTGATCTGCAGTTAAGTCAAGGCGAAAATATTAATCTCAAACATTTTGGACATGAAACCAGACAAAAAGTTTTTATAAAATTGTTGACTGACCTGGCCAGTGGCAACCAAATCTTTGAGAGGGTGTATACACAGACAGAGGATGTCGTCCGTGTGTTCTGTGTAAAACCTCTGCGTGTTGTTGTCTCTGTTGTAGACGATGCCTGCCGCAGCCACATGGTAAACCACTTCACCATTTTGTGTGTAAAACAGGTTGTTTCTGCAGTCGTAACCTCGGTACCTGAACAAATCAACGATTATTCCTGTGGATCATTTATATATTGTAAGATCGACATTATCATTACAATTATTGACACAAGAATTTCAGCACATCTGATTTTAATATTCATCATGGATACTTATTCAGACACCTTAAAAACTAGAGAACATCTGTAAGACAAAAATGTCCATTGGTCCTGTGGTCCACCTAAAAACAGCAACAGTGACCTTGACATTGACATTGGGACCCTGAAATATGAACTCATCCGAGGTATTATCATATTTGACCATTGTACCAACATTGATGAAAATCTGTTCAGAAATGAAGTTGGTAGAGACAAGAGTCACAAGACAATGAATAATGACAGAAAGGAAATGGGCAACACTGTTTGTCCCACCATCCTTCCCCCATAAAACGGTGGGTGCATTCACAAGTTCATTTTGGAAATTCAAATCCTCGTGAATAAGTTGTTAAAAAAACTTAACTTCTAGGTATTTCTACACATTTTCATATAATGGCCTTATTTCCTATGTGAATACAGTTACTGATTTACAGGTTACATCTTGAAACCACAAGATTAAAGGGGCTGGTCGGGGGAAAAAAATACGAAATAAATTGGTCTAAATGCGTTCTCTGGCCTTCCAAAAGTTATACCACGGCAATATGATGGTCGAGTTCTGCTTGCAATGTCCAGTTTTGACCACTGAAATCTCGGGGAAGCCCCGCTAAATTAAGCACAATTCTATTTATATATGTCACGTGGTTGTTTCCAAAGTGAGGCAGTGAAGATAACAACAATAGCACGTCGTCTATCAGCCATGTCGGACACAACTAGCGGTCAAGACAGCAATACTATACGTAAATAATTGTTTTCAAAGGTCATGTATGATGCAAGTGTTGTATTCCTACCTATATGTTGTTATTATATATAACGGTATTGATACCTCGTGCCTGTCATGACTTTTGCATGCATCTTTTTCTTTCGCGGCAATGTTTACATTTGGCCTCGTTGATAACGCGCATGCGGTAAAATGACATCACTGATCTTGGTCAATTGAGAGTTTTAGACTGTCAGGTGACGATTTAGGATTTCTTTAAAATAATTACAATTTTTACTCTTAGGGAGTGAATTTCAGCAAAATTTGAATCGGTATATTTCATAAGAAGGTATTTTAAACATGTGTATGCCATTTTAGCAAATATCTTTTTCCCTGACCAGCCCCTTTCAAAAGGCGACATCAACCATCATAAGATCTTCCTTCGTTTTTCTTATCATTTTTCTTATCCATTGGATTGATGCTAATGTCAACAGCAAATTCATCATGATACTGCTGACATTGTTTTTCAAAATAAGGTTATGTTGTTAACTTATTGACTAGAATAATAATGTGCGGGCTAGATAAATATCAAACTGACTTTACTACCACCCTTAGAAGCTTTGTCATGTTTGAGAACAGGTTGTATTTACCCATGGATATATTCAAGTTGAAGTCCTACGTCCGGTCCCTTTTTGCGTTTCTGACCACTGCCCAGCTCTGATTTTATCTTCTTACGTATAGTTTTTGCATCCTCTTTGTACAATGCACGGTCATATTTGATCTGTTTCTCCTGCTCTAGGTCCGAGTCGACCTCACCAATATCAGACATGTCGGAGTCACTCGCCTCACTGTTGGAATCCATGTAGCCTACAAATACAAACATCAGCATGTCAATAGGTACATAATAGCTATAAGCTGTACAACACTGACATCAACAGCACATTTTTTTAGGCCACAATAATTATTTTTTATGACTTTTTGGTATAAAAATTGGAGGCATAGAACAAACTAAATCAGACAATTACTTGTACTCCAATCTGCTACATCAAGTCCTTTTCATGTATCTGGATATTTCAGTGAGTAACAGGCCCAATAGACCTGTATCACTTTACCATTATTCATTGATGTTTGCAAACAGATATCTATATTTGTGACTATTATATCTACAAGTGGGTTGGGGTTAAAGTTATTTCAATTAATTTGATAGCAAACAAGCTTTTAATACAGGCTAATATCCTTTAAAACTCTACAACTTAAGGATCTTTCTTGGAAAATTTAAACATCCCTTAGTCATTGGAATTTAAGGTTCGCCATGGTCATTTTTGAAGAATGTCACCCCAGCCAGCCACAGACTTAATGTTACTAAAGACTCTCAGAAAAGTCAAGGTCATTTTTGTTTACAAACTTTGTAGCATTCGCTGCCAGCAAGCTACTAGGTTAACATCATGACAGTAAGACATTTTCTTTTTCATTTAACCTTGAATAAAGGTTAAAGTTATTTTTGTTTGCAAAATTATTTGTATTCCATACCGGCAAGTTCCTGCCCAAATATAACAACTCTAGGCCTTTTGATTCTAGAAAAGAAGATATTCGAGAATTTTAATATTGTTGACCCTTATGACTTTAAATATAAATCAATTTCTGGACCATCTCAACCTCACCTGGACCTCAATTAGAATTTTATTTTAGGTTCTGTGACTTGTTGAAGAAAACCTTCACTAGTATTAAGATGATTATGGGTTGGTTGTGGGATTGTGCAGCATAATGCAATCGACTTTTGAAGCAACAGTGTTAAAAAGTTTAAAAATGTCCTTCTAATTAGAAAATTGTACCGACAATATATAATTTCTGACAATAAGATTGCAACAACGGATATTTGTCATAATGTTTTAGTATCAGAAAGTTGATATCTTGTTGGTTGTTAGAAGAGTGTTTAGGACTTCCACTCACCACTCTGTGGATCCACCAGATCTCCAGTATCGGCTCCGTCGGCTCCGATGAATCGCCACTGAAACACGCTGTGGTCAGCCCCTCCCGTGGATATCACTCTGCTCTTGTCCTGTGAGAACCGCACGTTGGTAACATGAGCTGAGTGACCAATGTATTTCCTGAATTTGGCACCTGGAATAAGAATTATTCTTATACATCATTTTTATAACATCTTGTCTGATTGGCTGATACTGGTTAACACGACGGGGCAATAAAACATTATGTCTCCCTCAAGCGCCCAAGTTACCCCAATCAAACTCCCTTATTCGTGACTTCTCTAGACATAGCTCCCTGATCATCTCTTCAATCATGTTAATGTTTTTGATGGATTGATGGATTTTTCGGCATATACAAATATTTATTGCCCTTACTGAAGGGGAATCATCCCTCATGAAACATGATTAACCTCGTAGATACAAAGAATAGTGTTTCCCTTTAGTAAGGGCAATAAATGTATATTGTCACCAAAATACTGATATTCTACCTCTGTAGCTCACAAATTTGGAAATATGGAAGACATACTCATCTGTATTTTAACCATTGACTTTGGATTAAGCTTATAAATATAAATATAAACATTATTCATTTTACAACAATTATGAAACAAGTTATTTCAACTTATATAAATCACTCCTGTTGGCCCGGATGTTAGCGCGTGTGGGAGGAAACCGGAGTACCCGGAGAAAACCAACGTAGTCGGGCAGGTGACCCCAACCTTTTCACGTCCGATCGGGGAATCAAACCGCGACGGCCTTGGTGAAAGGCAAGTGCGCTATCCACTGCACCACCCGACCACCCTTGGATTAAGCTTCCGTTCTGTGTTTTAAGATCACACAAATGTTTAGAAATATATAAAATACAAACCTTTCCGAAGGCAAGGAAATTTGAACAGTTTGACGAGACCAAAGTCATCGCCAGTGACAATAGTCTCCGCAGGAAAGTTGGCGTCCACAGCGTTGACATCGTTGGTGTCCGTGTACTTCTCCCAGATGCCATTGACCTCTGACCCCAAAACACCAGTGAATGTATGCCACCTGATGTTGACAATTTCCTCTCTGTTGGTGACCTGTTTTCCAACTATACGAAAAAATATAAGGGTCAATTTGCAGAACACGTTTACAAGAATTCTATGAAAAGTGAAATAGAAAATCTGCCCATGCCAAGCTTTTGTTCAAACTCTGTTTTGGTTCACAATTCTATTAATATACTAATAAGAGATCATTAGCCTGGATATCTTCGGCTATTTCTGAAATATATTTCAAATCAACACTAACTGATCAGAAACTAAAAACATGACAAACACTAAAAAAAAAAGTAAAAAACATGCATATTCCATATAAACACAAAAAGGCCATATAACTTGAACTGACTTGACTATGTGACAATTCATTTGAACAAACTTGATAGCACTTCATCCCATCATGCTATAAGCATCACTCTAGGCATTATGGTTCTTGTTTGTAGTTGTTTTTTAACACATCTGATCTTACATTTACGCATTTATAGACTTCAACATAAAAAATAGTCCCTATTTTTGTCTTGTACCTTAGCCCTAAGGAAAGCTACACTTTTCCTTCGTAAAATTGATTCCAAGGTCATAAGGCTTACCTGGCATTTTATAGAAGAGTCTTTCAGCAGCACCGCTGTTTGTCTGGAGAAACTTGCTGTCCTCTGACCAGTCGATGTGGGTGATGAAGCTGGAACTCCCTTTACATAGCCCCACCTGTTTGTATCGCTGCTCCACCGAGTACACATCCACAAAGTTATCATTGGAAGCAACAGCCAGGAATTTACCGCAAGGTGAAAACTTCATCTCGTGAATCACCTCCTTTCTATCTTTGATGTGAACAACCTCAGCAAAATCTCTGTAAAAGTCAAGAAATTTTCCTCTTCTGAATTAAAACTTTTTTTCATAAATATGATCAATGGATTTTACGCATTAGATAATCATACTTTAAAACATAATAATGATACTACTTCATCTACAGAAGGTAACCCCCAAGTTTTAACCCTTTCACAATTGTAGACCAAAATGGACTCACCAAGATAATTGTATGGTAGAGTCTACTAAAGTTACTTAGGGGTGAAAGGGTTAAAGAAACGAAGTTTCACTTTCATTCAATATATGATAGTATTTCAGAAATATAAATTTTATGATTGGGGAAATGCTAAACCCCTTATTCATCTCGAGATGTTAACAGGCTTATTATCAAACACACTCACCCAGCCTTCAATACCAAAAAGGAGCCATCCATGAGCCCAACAGCAATGTGATTCCCCTCATTATCAAAAGCACATGATCTAATCTTCTGATCAAGGGAGGTCCTTGAAAGTATTTCAAAGTTGTTCATATTCCACAATCTGCAAAGAAAAATGTATAGGTCTATTTAACATAATCATAATTTATTCTTTATTTCTGTACAGAAATTAAAACAGTATCAAACCATCATTATTATGTTTAACATGGTACCTGATCTTTTCCTCCATCATCCTTGTTTTGTAATTCCCCATATACAATGTACTTGTTTTATAATTCCCCATATACAATGTACTTGTTTTATAATTCCCCATATACAATGTACTTGTTTTATCATTCCCCATATACAATGTACTTGTTTTATAATTTCCCATATACAATGTCCTTGTTTTATAATTCCCCATATACAATGTACTTGTTTTGTAATTCCCCATATACAATGTACTTGTTTTTAGTGTTGCAACCCACTTTTACCACTAAAGATGGTTCCAACATCCGAGGTCATAATCAATCACAGTTGTTTTATCCCAGGACATGAAGCCTCCCTTTTTGGACAGGGAAGCTTCCTCTTAATTCAATTAAATTTAGTGGCTTTTTGGAGAGAGAAAAAAATCGAAAAATGAGATTTGTGTACCGATGGATGTCGCACGAAAAAAATAAACCGAAATGAAAGTAATGTTGCATTGTGTTGTAAATGGGAACAAAAATATTTAAAAGTACCTGAGTGTCTGATCATCACTTCCTGTGGCAAATATGGGTTTGCGTGGATGTATTGCAAGAGCCCAGAGTTCCCCTTCCGCATGGCCCTGTACAAGACATTTGGGCTTGTCGCGCTCCCGTACCGACAGTTCAAATATTTCACTGTCCTGTGTCCCACACAGAACACTTTCTCCTCTCCAACACACACTTCGCACACATAAACCTGCACATCAAAACAAAATTCATCATCAAAAATATTATATTTAAACTATCTCAAATAAACCAAATATGTATTTGGAAGATTTTCTTTGCATCCCATTTGTAAACATGAAGCCCATGGGCCTTATTAGTCACCTGTGATGCACAAATTATTCATTGTTTATGAGACTTTAAGTGGAAGCAATCATGTACGACAACCAAGTTTAAGTTGTATTCCCTTTATCAGGACCATAACTAAATCATCCACACCGAGGTTAAGTTTTATCAGCCCATAAGAATTTAAATTTATGCTTTATAAAGATTTTAAAAATGGAACCACCATGGCGACCCTTGTGTTTGTATAGATACATAACACTCACCATGGCGACCCTTGTGTTTGTATAGATACATAGCACTCACCATGGCGACCCTTGTGTTTGTATAGATACATAACACTCACCATGGCGACCCTTGTGTTTGTATAGATACATAACACTCACCATGGCGACCCTTGTGTTTGTATAGATACATAGCACTCACCATGGCGACCCTTGTGTTTGTATAGATACATAACACTCACCATGGCGACCCTTGTGTTTGTATAGATACATAACACTCACCATGGCGACCCTTGTGTTTGTATAGATACATAGCACTCACCATGGCGACCCTTGTGTTTGTATAGATACATAACACTCACCATGGCGACCCTTGTGTTTGTATAGATACATAACACTCACCATGGCGACCCTTGTGTTTGTATAGATACATAACACTCACCATGGCGACCCTTGTGTTTGTATAGATACATAGCACTCACCATGGCGACCCTTGTGTTTGTATAGATACATAACACTTAAAATGGTGACCATTGTGTTTGTATAGACACATGACACTCACAATGGCAACCTTGTGTTTTATTGGTATGTATATGCTACATACCTTTATATCCTAGGTGCGTATTGACCAGACTTATCGTAGTTATAGGCTTAAAGTCTGAGTCCCACAGCCGTACACAGCCATCCTTACCACCTGTGGCAAAGCCCTCATCTGCATGGTCAATAGCATAGATAGCAGCCTGTAATATTAATATCAGGGCTTGTTTAGTCAATTGCATTAATATCAGGGTTTATTTAGTCAATTACATTAATATCAGGGTTTGTTCAGTCCATTACATTAATATCAGGGTTTGTTCAGTCAATTGCATTGATATCAGGGCTTGTTCAGTCAATTGCATTAATATCAGGGTTTGTTTAGTCAATTGCATTGATATCAGGGTTTGTTCAGTCAATTGCATTAATATCAGGGTTTGTTTAGTCAATTACATTAATATCAGGGTTTGTTTAGTCAATTGCATTAATATCAGGGTTTGTTCAGTCAATTGCATTAATATCAGGGCTTGTTCAGTCAATTGCATTAATATCAGGGTTTGTTAAGTCAATTGCATTGATATCAGGGCTTGTTCAGTCAATTGCATTAATATCAGGGTTTGTTCAGTCAATTGCATTAATATCAGGGTTTGTTCAGCCAATTGCATTAATATCAAGGTTTGTTCAGTCAACTGCATTAATGTCAGGGTTTGTTCAGCCAATTAGGTTCATATCAGGGTTTGTTCAGTCAGTTACATTCATATCAGGGTTTGTTCAATCAATTGAATTATTATCAGGGTTTGTTCAGCCAATTGTATCAATAACAGGGTTTGTTCAGTCAATTACATTATTATCAGGGTTTATTCAGTCAGTAACATTAATATCAGGGTTTGTTCAATCAATTGCATTATTATCAGGGTTTGTTTAGTCAATTGTATCAATATCAGGGTTTGTTCAGCCAATTGCATTAATATCAGGGGTTGTTTCCATTCAGCCATTCAGTTTTACTGTAACGTTCAAGATGGATCAAACTAGTCTTCTTCATCTCATCCACAAGGTAGTGCACACTGAGCCTTTGTCATGACATATTTGAGGGGTGGACAGGAGTAAATGAGTGTAACCCCTGGAGTATCGAGAATGGGAAAAGGTATGATCTTATGCAGAATTAAGAAAAAACCTCTTCAGGGAAAAGGTATGATCTTATGCAGAATTAAGAAAAAAACTCTTCAGCCTCTTCAGCCATTCTGAACTTTATCTAGTAGTCTTTTAAAGGAAAAGTTGACAATAGGATGAAAGATACCATACCTTGGGGCCAGGGGACCTAATTATTCTCTTAGAATTACTGCCCCCTTGTCTATCACTACCAAATCATGTATTGTACCAGTACACATTGGCTTTACCTTGTGTGCCTCTTGTACGACACTATCAAGGTTGTTTCCTTTCCAGATATAGATGTCTCCGCTCATTGTGCCGGAGTAGGTTACGTTGTCGCTGGTGCTGAATGCCATACACATTATGGTCTGTATCTCACCAGTCTTGCCGAACACGCCCTTTTTGGAGGTCAGAGAATTTCCACATAGCGTCCAGAACTTGATGTGTTTCACACCGCAGCTTACAATGGTGTTGTTATTGAAGGGTTGGAACTGTACATCAAATACCTGGAAAAAAAACAGATATCAAGGCACTGAAAGTACAGAGCGAGAAAAGTTTATGCTATTTAAATATAATTGTAGGTCAGCCGTTGAATAAAGACGTGTAGCACATGTTATACTGAACAAGAAGCAAAATTGGCCTGTAATACTCGTAAGTTTTTTAGCGTTGTACATTTCTTACATATCTGTGACCTTATAATAAGTTTGATTCAATTTCAACAAACTTATTTCACTTTCAATATATCAAAGGGAATCAAACTTAGCCTATTTAGTTCTTTAGGAAACAAGAGACCCAGAGGAGCTCAACTGTTTCCATGTAAAGACCCAGGTATTAAGTCACCACAGACTGGGCTGAACACTAAAGCTAATCCTGGTAGTATGATTTTAGCAAGGGAATCTGAACTGTTTCCATGTTATCACCTTGGGGCTACATCAACAGGGGCATGCCTGACCCAGGGACCAGTTCTGGTAGTATGATAATGTTTGTTGCTTTATGCTTAGCAAATATAAAACCTCCAGAACTTATTGTCACAAAATCCAAGTTTTTTATGCAGGGTTGATCGACCATGTATTAATGAGCACTCTATTACGAGTTTTCAGTTATCAAGTTTTTTTTATCACTAATTGGATTCACAAGAGGCCCAATGGAAGATAATATACTATTCAAGTAAGTAACACTACACCTGTTAGTTAAATGCATACATATACATACCCTGTCAGAGTGGCCACGGACAGTAGCCAGTATTTTTCCTCTTTTCCAGTCCCATACATTAATGGTTGACTGCTGGTCAAGCCCGACAGATACCAGACGCTGTTAAAGAAAAATCAATATTGCATATATCAAAATAATATAATAACAAACATCCTATATTTAAAATAAAAATATTGAAAAAAAAAAGAAAAAGAAAAAAAGAATGAAAAAAAGGGAAAAGAATAATTCTAAAACATTAAAAGAAAATGTGATCAAAAGATAGACCTTCATCCCAGTTTGATATTGGTAAATGGCAAATATGATCATGCCTAGGCAACTTGGTTATTCAGAAGAAATTGTTTATAAAGAATGTAACCGATAGGACCCCTAGCTGTGACTTTTACTTACATACATACGTACAGTTATAATTACCGAGTTCTGTCTAATTAGACATCAACATATACATACAGTTATAATTACTAAGTTCTGTCTAATTAGTGTTCTTTGTAAGCACTTACCGTTCCCTCTCTGTCAAATGCCACTGCAGCAACCCCGTTTTGGTGTCCATCCTTCAGTATGGAGACAGTTTCCATGGTGTTCGAGTCCCATACACAGATGAATGGACTCTTTCCTGTCTGACCGGTTGCCACCATTGATCTATCAGGGTGCAGATTGAGGCTGCAAAGAAAAACAACACCAATTAAGTAGCTTTTGCAATAGGGTTAGGGTAACTCAGCCAAACAATTACCAAATGACAGGATTCCAAGTACCCTATAAATTATCAATATTCAAAAATAAATATGTTGCAATGTGTTACTTAAATGACACTTTTCTGAATCAATAACAGCATGATAAATTTTCTGCTGGACTAATTCTTTGGAAAGCGTATTTTTATGATGTTGAAATTGTCAAAAATTGGGTTTGCTTCCTACCACATAGCACTATCAGGCCAAGTGAAATTTAATGTTGGTTTCCCCTAACCCAACAGACCCTCTAAAAACACCCAAGTGACTGTTTTCAGTGGTTCATTTTCATAGTATCACGCATAATCAATTAACCTTTTGTTGTGTTTAGAGGTATATATCAAGCATGTAAGTGATCAGACAACTATAAAATGGTGGCTCTTTCTTCAAGAGAGACATTCTACGTATACATGTACAACAAGTCTAGTAAGGGTGCTCATATGATAATCAACAAGTGACCTTGCACAGAGCATACTTGAAGCACGGTTAATATTTAAAAATAATAATTCTTGTTTGAAATCTTCATACTTTAAAAACAGTTTGATTCCAAATTTTAACATAATGCTACATAAGTCTGTGGTTTGACTACACATGTAGGGCATCATTTTTTCTTCCAAATCAAAATGAAGCTGGTTAATTATTACCTGTGCTGTACCATCGGAAGTCATACTATAGCTGTTTGATGCCCCCACTCCCTGACCTATATGTGGTTGACATTGTGGCCTCCCCTTTGCCCGAAACATGTCAGCACTTAAGATGTAAATCAAACATTACATTTTGTACCGGATTCAGTGGTGTTGTTGCTCATCATTTTTATTTTTCATTTTCATTGCCGGAATATGTAAGATTTGACCCTTTATATGTTACTTTAAGAGAAAAAAATGTTGTCATTGAAAATGAAGTGGATACACCACAGCAATGGAGTTCTCCCCCTTGTATGAAATGACCTGTCAAGGAATAATGGAATGTGCTTGGGGAATCATTTCAGTGGCTTTTTCTTCTTTTTTTCATGGATGATTTTTTTTTTACCTAACCTTATTATAACAACCCCAAAAATATTGAGCATGTTATATTCTGGGGAAACCAACAATCGACTTTGTTTGGCATGATGATAACTATTTTAACTGACTTAATTGTTAGATACATGATACTGGTGTACAGGTCACATCACCTTAAGGTACACTTTGTTCGGTGTACATGTCACATCACCTTTATAAGGTACACTTTGTTTGGTGTACATAGCAATGATGTAAAATAGCATGCACAGTACGGGAACTAAATATAGACCAAAGTGATCAGGGTATCAGACCGTCATGCTTTGATGCACAAACATATATAAGAGGTGGACAATATACATAAGTGAAATCACACCAGTGTTCTAGCTATAAATTAAACCCCATGGTGAAACTAAAATATAAATAATGTTACATGACTGACTACGTATATGCTGTCATGAATTTTGTCAATGAATGTTATTGAGAGCTATCACCTCCATCCATCAGATTCTCACTATCAAAAGATTTTAAGATGCTTAATATACTTTGCTAACTACCTAAGTATAGTTAGCATAGTGTTATAATAAAATGAATATCAACTCGTTCCCGTTCCATCTACTGATGTTTTTCATAAAAAACATCTCCCTTTATTATATTTTTTTAAAACAAACAGTAATTGGAATTCGTTGCTTTCAGTCGATGCATGTCATAACATGACTTTGCTACTGAATGTTATATATAGAACACAGTACAGAATGTATACAACAAGTGGTCATGTTGACAAACTAAACCAACTGACAAACACCAAATGATAGGTGTTGATGCACTGGAAACAACAAAAATGATGCTTGATATATATATAATTACCACAAGATGTCATCGTCATGGCCGAGATAGAAGCGCTGTTTATGGTTTCTGTCGTTATAAACAATCCCAATACCGGCAGCGAAATAGATGATATTCTTACTGGCATTGTAAAACAAGTTGTTTCTGCATTGATGTCCTCTGTATCCATATACCCACTCCAACCGGAGTTGACTCGTTGGTGCTGTTTTAGTCGCCATTTCTCAAAGTAAAGTACTTGCACTGGGGTTTAATATTGACGACATGCACAAACCAGTCTTCATGCGGCCATATTTATTATTGCCGCTATGTTACTGGGGAGAGGGTAGTGTCAGGAATGTTATCCTGGCCGTTTTCGTTTAAGCGGTTGAACCGGTCGGACCACAGTTGTTCGTTTATTAAATCAGGTCGGACCTAGTAATCTAAAGCTACTTTCAGGCGAGCCTTGACAAAGCCTTGTAAGGTCTGGATAAACATTTGCAGGTCCTCCAGGATTGATACCCGAAATTGTTCCATTTAAAAATGGAAAAACCGGTTGTTCCGCATAAACGAACAGACCCCCATGGGAAAGGATGGTGTGACTTAAGATTTAAGTTGAAGACTAATATTCCCCTTAATTCTGAGTCAATATTTGTGCAGAAACAATCATATTAAAGATTATTTTCTTGTTTATCACATAGTATCATTTAATTAAATACATACAAAAAAATACATTACAAAAGCATGACAGGAATAACCGCTAACGGAATAGAAATGTCGACTGTGGCGGAACTGGACTGGGTCGATCATCGGCGACCAGGGGCTTGTTAGTTAATTAAATGTAACATTTTCGGGTCCGCCAGGGTTTAAGCAGACCTTGCAGGCGTTGTCAAGGCTCGTCTGAAAGCAGCATAAGATACTTAGGACAAGTTAGGTCCGACCTTACTTGACGTTACGCGCGATGTTGGTGACACCTTGTGTAACGTAAAATGACGCCGTTTTTATCATATGTGACGTCACTTTCAGATGTTTTATCATATTATGCATTATTTTGTATGACCCCTTGTACGCTACCATGCGGACGAAGAAAAATGATCAACATGACATGATAAACTTTTTCCCGTTATTGTTGTGAAATAAATACAGTTTTAAAATTGGCCGGAATTAGGAGGGGAAGATATAGATGTGGTTGTGGGGACAGGGCTACATTCTCAAACTCGTTACCATTGTTTCAGAACGAGCCGGTTGCCCCAGTTTTAGATTTTATTTTTGCTGTAAAAACCAACAGAGAATAAGTATCTGTTATTTTTACTATATTTCTACAATTCTATTTACATGTAAGTATTGACTTTATCCACGTATAGTCTTTCAAAAATGGTAATGATGTATTAAATTCAATGCGAAATAATAAAATGGCCTCATGATTTCTACTTATGTTTGGCACTCTAAATGTTGCGCAACGTTATTCCCGGGCCGTTACGTCGCCTAAGTGGGACATTTTACGGAAACTGAAAAGTGTAATGCGATTTTTTTCATTCACAAAAACGAAGTGTTTTATTCTATTAAGTGAATAAAATATATAATTTAAGGACAAAATTATTTCATTTCATGTTTAGTAATTAATTTGATATTATACGTCATCATAGTTTTAATTTAGGCAAAATATACGTCAAAACTTTTTATTTGTTCTGTTTTACAAGAAAACGTTCTTTCAGATCGATAGTTTTCTTTGTATGATAATTTCGACAAAGACACATTACAAATATAACTTTATCTCAAATATCTGACAATATCCTCCCGTCAACACGATAGATTCATGCCGACCTTCCTGCTGAGTAAGCGTTACAATATGTTAGTAGCGGTTTGGAGAAGATTTTGGTAAATATGCCGATCACTGACCCCAATGAAACTTTTGACGTCATTTGTGATGTCATTTCTGCTTCCGTAAATCTAGTTCTGAAATCTCTGCATACTTTTGGCGCGAATTTATGGAAATTCTTTAAAAACGTCTGACCCCGTAGAAGAAGCGCGTTACACGAGTTATTGTGACGTTTTCGAGGTTGTTATTGTGAAACAGAATTCTTCATGTTGTGTTATACTATCCATAATTAGCATCAGATGAATGAGGTTGAAAAATCGTTTTCTGTGATATATATAATATGACATCAAGTTCTGAAAACTTAATAATACAGAGATACTTTTAGCAGGCCCCATGCATGTTTTGAAGCGGTGTCACCAACATTTACTTCATAAACGAACAGCTCTGGTCAAACCGCTCAACAGTTTGGATGGCGATAAACGAAAATGGCCAAGGTATAGAGCGTCCGTCTAGAATTTAGAGGGTCCTTGGTTCGAACACCGATGTGACCGTGCATTTTGCCATCTCCTGTTACTTGACAATATATATATATATATCAATTCAACAAACTTAAGATAATTTGTTCTGAACCCTTCTAGATAAGAAAACTTTACGATATAATCTTTAGTACAATATCAATGATATTAATTAGCATCATAATTTTACTATAGTGCTTCCTTAAGGCGAAAGCTTGAGGAGATTATACTCTAATTAGATTTAACATCGACCACTAGGCCTAGATCTGGATTATTTTTAAATTTTGAAACAGGTAATGCCTGGAAAGAGCTTGCATTCATGTAACTTTTAAATTAAAATATTACCAATATCGATATTGCTAATTTGTCCCTGTGCATCAGATGGAGCAGTGACGTCATCTACAGTGTGAATCCATATCAACTTCATTCATTTTACAACAATTTCACCAACTTGTTCAATATTAAGCATTATAATATGACGTTTGCTACAGTGAAACTAAATTTTGTAAAGCAATAATGGCCAAACTAACATTCACCATGCTTAACCCTTTGACTTCAGTTAGTGTCGCGATCAAATCGATAGTGTCGATATCTGTTTGAGCTACGAATGTTTTAGCATAACTTTATTTGCCTACGTTTGTCGATAAACAACCAGGAGATCGACGAATTACATTTTTCAAAATAATAGTAGTTCTTTTCATTATATTATATTGCCGGTTATTGAGATTTCATTTGTGGGTATGTAAATGTTAACAATCAAATCCAAACCAGAGGATATCGACAGTTAATGACACGGAGAAAGTTATTATTACTACCGCGTTAGTTTGAACATATTCCACACGTCATAACACTTTCTACCCAGAAAAGTACATGACTATCCGTGAAGAAACAGAAATAATGATATTCACTTAGATAATTTACTTTCATTTGCACCTTATTGCATAAGTTTATCAAATTGGATTTTTTTTTATCCCTTCCATATCAGAATTCAAATATGTTATTTTAAAGATGGACGTATGTAAGAAATTTGTTTATGAATACAATATGCCAAAAATGAATTACATTGCATCATACAGCTGTTTCGTCCTTCTTGGACTCCTCATCGGTGATGGTAGGGGCCAAAAGGTAGCAATCCTAATAGGTCTAAACTACTGTTGAAACAGAAAATAATCTATGAGATTTGTATATTGTACATTTGATCTTATTCATGTTTCCTTTGAATCATCTAAATTAACAGTCATCAATATTTTCTACTTTGCCGCCATATGTATATTTTATCATTATTGTTTGTATAACTTTTGTATTTTTGCAAATAAAATATGTTTAAATCAAAACCCCCAAGTTAAGAAATTATTTTACAGATGTAGCTCATTGACAGCTGGGCTTGTATTACATGTACATGGGATCTATCTACGTTTGAATATTAATTATTGATTCAGTCTACAAAATGAGCTACTAGGCCATCTGACCAAATGGTTTAATTACTCATAAAGTAAAAGACTAACGCTTACGAAAAGTCCTATACCGTCCCGCAGCGCAAGGTTTCCAGAGATGCAGGCTCACGTGTGCCATAAATGCTTTGAGGTCTTGGCGTTTCTTTGATTTTACCTAAATTTATATGGCGGGTGTTGATGATGAAGCAGAAAGAAAAATACATTTTCGAAACACTTTGTCTTATTTCTTCGAAATCCAAATACTATAGAAGAATTAAAAAGATCGTTTAATTGATCTTTAACATCCTCTTCTCAAAAATGTTTCTCCTATCAAAACTTTTGCCTTTTTGACACTCTCATTCCTAATACCTAACTGATTATATTTGTAAATTATTTTGGAGCTTATTTCGTTAGAAGTACAACGAAGGCCAAAATAAAATACACTGAGGATGGTATTGTGAGAATGATTGATTTCCTGGTTAATTTAATCTATGTTGAGATCGGCGGCAAGATTTTCCAGCAGGCTGTAGGCATTCTCGTGGGAACAAACTGTACCCCTCTTCTGGCCGATTTGTTTCTGCTTTCAAACAAAGCTGAATTCAATGACGACTTTATTAGGACCGGTAACAAAATCCTAACCAAGTTCTTCAATTTCACATTCAGATATATCGACTATGTGCTATCGTTGAACAACAAGAGATTCATTGACCACATCGATCGTATATACCCTCCAGAACTTGAAATCAAGGACACCATTTAACTTCATCCGCTTTAGTCGATCTTTACGTACAACACGACTAATGGGGACGGCTTACTTCTAAGATGTATGACAAGCGGGACGATTTCGACTTTCCTATCGTGGACTTTTCCTTTCTTGATAGCAACATCCAGGCTCCCCCTCGTGTTTTTGGTCGTCATCAGGATCCTCCTGGGAAGCATGCAACTTTTTTGTTGACATTATGGTTCTGGCTTTGAGGATGTGACATTTCTTAGAATTGACTTGGATTTATATGGCGGGTGTCATCAATCTTTTTCAAATGTAAAGCTTTCCTCGTTCATATTTTGTCAGTTTTCATCAATTTTGCGTTCAAATTATAGTTTCGATGACATCCCTCTTCAATTATTACACTGTTTAATATTATAAAATCACACAAATTTGCTCCCCCTTTTTTTATGTTATGATAATGAAAACAAAATTGTTTAAATAATCATCTCTAAAAACTCATGTTCCTGTGTAAAATTATTTCAATTCAGGGGCGTAGCTGGCCCTTGTTCGGAGTGGATTAATTTTGGAGGCGGGTCCAGTACAGGGCCTTGGTAGGGGGACATGGGGTGTAACAAGCAATGTTTTGGTTCTGCCTTTTTACTGTTTGAAAATTTGGTGGATTCACCTGCTGGGTACCAGCGTATAGGCAGTTAGGCGCCAGGTCATGCACAGATGCTTGACACACTAATATGAAATGTATATACTATAATATTATTATTATAGTATATATACAATTCATGTTAGTGTTTCCAGCACCTGTGACTTCATGCAAACATTTCTTTTCATAAAACTGTTGGAACTTCAAAAGCATGTACTAATTAGATATACAGTTATTATCAAAAAATATTATCTGCAAATGAACCCTACTGATCAGAGAAGTTTACGCAATCAGTCTATTACGTAATAATACGTAATAAATATAACTTGTCTTCCATTTTAAATCAAGTTCATTAAAACTTTTAAAAGTAGATGGAACTGATGTCAAAAATTTGCAACTACCAAACACCCATTACATATCATCAGGTATACATTTATGTAAGACACTAACAAACAAATATGTATGAAAAACAACATCTGTTGCATTGCAATTAATTTTAATATGTAAGCAGATGACAAAACAATGATAAATTATTAAGCTGCCAGCAGTTAAATTGATTCCGAAGAAACAAAATTTTATCACAAAATTTGATAGCTGAAGATTTCCAGATGATTGTTTTCTTTCCTCTTCACCAACAATCATCATTCCTCTAAACTTGGCCAAGCATCATCTTGTGGCAGAGTTTTCTTTAGGGCTAAAAATGTAACAAAGAATAAAAAGTACTGAAAATATTAAGATGGAGGAAAAACTGGATGTAACTAAAGGTTTGCCAGCAATTGCACAAAGAAGTATGTACATTAAACTTCACAAGAGAGGTTTTTTACCATTCACTCGCTATAGGCTGCCTAATCCCTCCCATGGTATTGGAATTTAGGGGAAAACTATTGGCTAGCTGATTCTTTCTTCACTTGGTATTGGATTTTAGGGGTAGGGTGGGGTAAATATGGAAACTTTTGGCTGTTACAGCGGATTCTTTCCCACCTTGATATTGATTATTGATATTGCTCGAGGGCGTTACCTAAAAATGAATTATTAAGAAGGGAAAGAGTACATATGTAAGGCTTTTGATTTAGAATTGAAAATGCAGATGCGATAAAATTATATTGATTACATTATTTTTATTGAACTGATGATTGCAATTGACTAATATCATGCACGGACACTGTAGATCATCTGAATACTTCAATGATTGCAGTAAGAAAGATTTAGGAAATTAATAAAAATTTCAGCCTAATTATATTTAATTAAACCAGAACATATCCCATTTTACTACATAAGAAGCTGTTAATTTAACTTACGTTTCATATCAAAAGATGATTTTTTCCCATCAAAAATTATAGGGGAGTGTTCCTCAGAAGATAGATTACATGATGGAGGACTAGCAGTAGAATGGTACTGACTGTCATTGTTGCAGTCTTGGCAGAACCTTGGAGATGCCTCTGGTCCCCTTGGGTAGCCATCATCATCGGGATCTTTATTGCAGCTCCTCACAGCCCCAGCATGGTGAAGTGGGCGATTTCTCCTCCACAATGGAGATCCTCTTTCTATGTCCATGATCTGCAATACAAATATTCTTCTTAAGGTCACCCCCTTCATCTTCACTTATAACATATATACCTCCCTTTCCATTTCAGTTGTACCATATGACGATAAACCCCTTCTATCCCCACTGTATCAATCCACTTCCATTCTCTCCGACACCATTTGAATATAATGTTGCTCCTCCTATCCCAAAAAGCCATATCTAATCAATGATATAAGGTGTCATCCAAAACAAAATGTTCAGTTGATTGTCGATAGATCGTTAAATGAGTACCAGTTGAGTTGACGGATATGACATCACTTGTGGACACTTGTGTTTAAGTTTGGGCGCTAAGATGAACCAACATGGATTTTAACAGTTGGAAGATGACAGGCTGAAGAGGCAAAATAAAGAGATGTATTATGGGGAAGCCAGAAGTTTGAGTTGACTGGCATGCAATTTGTATTTTTGTGAATGTAACCAAATCTTACGAGTCATAAAAGACATCCAGAGTAAACAGGCAGGTAATGCACACTCTTGACATTCAGTAGTTCATATAACAGTGCGATTAAGTGCTATTCAGTCCAGCAATAGTCCAATTACTTCTATGGTAGCAGTATACAGTAGAAATGGCCCGACTCTGATAAACAAGCCACATGTCGAGGAAATGTAAACACAGCGGATTTACCCTACACAACACATGTATACATGTATATATATTTGTAAACTGCATTATATTTACAATACATATAAAGTACTGTGAAGTGTATAAACCTCTTTTTTCTATGTATGTCACTCGTGTGAAAACCATGGTTACCACATCAAAAATTACCAAAAAATGCAAAAAATTGCTATTTTTAACCCAAAACTTGACCCCCGCAACTAGTATTTTTTTCCCTAAGCTCTGTCTGAAATTAAAGATTACCTACCTGGTTGCAGAATTATCCAAGTCCCAGTAAAGTTGTAAAACTTGATTTTTTGCAATTTTGCGTTGTGTGCTGTTGTCAAAATTTTACCTCCTGTAAAGCTAGCTTTTCATGTGTACGCACCCTTTCGGATTATGGCCAAAATTTTATTCTAGCACCAAAAAAATCTTCTTTCTTTTTTACAAATGTGAAGCTCACATAGGCCACTTCATCATGCTTATACCAATTTTAGTAGAGTTTTATTTTTATGTTTCTTTTACATATCATTATACAGGGGTTAGCCATTTAACAAAAATATCACCCATGGCAACAACCCTCTACTGTATACTGCTACCTATGCACTTCAAATTTCAAATATTACCTACCTCTTCACAACAGCGCTTGCTTACAACAGCTTTATATCCAATCTTAGCCCAGAACAAGTCTCTTCTTCTGAGGAATCTAGGAAATCTGTCTCTCCACTTGTGACCAAGAGCCCAAGGAAAAATTTCATATTTAGCCTCTTCTTCATCTTCTTCCATATCATTTGCCAAGTACCTAAAAGGAATTTTAATACATATGGATGAATTAGGTCAATATCGCTATTTCATTTTGAGCTGTTATAAGGGAACGGTAAGAAGTCCATGAGTCACCCAAGTTTTAGCTATTCTTTTGGGTTAATTCCTGAAGTGGAAATAATACTCTCAGAAACAAAACATGTGAAAACCATTCAAATTAATTACATTACTAATAAGAAATAACAGTTTTTCTTTTTTTCCCTTCAAAATGCCTAGAGCTCTATTTTTGATCACTTACAATCCAATGAAGAAGTTCATCCGGGTAAACTCTCTGGTCTTCAACTGTGCTCTTTTAAAAAAGGCAAACACCATGGCAAGCAAATACTGAAATCAAAAGAACACTAATCTATTATGAAAAAACCCATCACTTATCTATTATGATCAAGACAGAATGATCGCCCATATTGATCATGCATTAAGAGACAAGCATTGGGAAGTCCAAAAATTGGTCTCTTAACACTGGTGGTCTCTTAACTCAGTATCAGTTTACAATGAAATCACTACCAAGGGAGATATCAAAAGTGGTCTCCTAACACAGGTAGCCACATGAGCAGGTTTCACAACTTTTATTGGCAAATATATATCCAAAGCTGAACTGCTCATCAGCCAATAATTATCAATAGGTGAAACTATTTAGTCATAATTGGATTTTCTAGGCCTTGTAGTTTTTACCATGTGACCTTGAATATGGTTCAATATTATTTAATTTGAATGACTACAGTACCTTTGCAAATGTAATAGTGTATTATCATGTTTTATTAAATTACCAACCATTGTTTGACCATTGTCAACATACTTGACAATGTATCTGCCTTTCGGGCAGGTGAGATAAAAAAAAAAAGGCTTGACATGATTGATTTTTAATCAATTTATGTATGACTCATCATTTACTAACCGAAATCACATGACTGTTGCATAGTAGCACCAACAAATGAAAATGTTTAAAAAATATATTTGTGAATTTTCAGCATTAAACTTATTAAATGTACTGTTAATATCCTATGCAATAAATATTTTTTGTCATCGATAAAACGTCAGAATAATTCGGCTAGTTTGCCCTGTCATCATCATTAAACATGACGTGCCTAGTTTCCCCAGGTAGAAACTATACCAGAACCAGAAGCAGAATTACTGGCAAAAAATGCGTTTGTGTTACCTTGTCAGAAATTCTCATGCACTTGTCCATATAAAGGAAGTCTTGCACATGCTCATCATCTGGAACATTTGGAAAAGAATGAAAATCATTTTGTTAGAAAATGGAAACTCAAAACTGAGGGAAACTATCTAAAATATATCACATAAATTGAAACTGAATTACGATGCTTACTCAAAAGTTTGAAAAATGCAGTCATTTCCTTTTCTTTCACAACGAAACATTGCTGATTTTTTTCAAAGATTGGTGTAGGTCTGCTAGCAGATTTCTTTCCTATCCCCGCGAAAATCCTATACGACGATCGTGGTTCTTGCAATTCCATTGCATGGTCCACAACATAAAATCGTCGAGGTCTTTTTGCTTGAGCATTCTCCTCTAATTTTTGTTGTTCATCAATTTTCACCTGACTTGAGAAATGGTAATCATTATGTATGTCATTGTTCGGCATTTCTAGCACTTTCACTTTCTCCCAGACTTTCGAAAATGGTCTTTTGATGGCCAATTTCCTAGTCTTGTACAAATCGTCGTAATTATCGTTGGTTCGTTCATTCAATGGGCACTTAATGATATCGATTGACGGCTTCAGAAAAGCGTCATAAAAGTTTGGAAGCATCTCTCCTTGTACTCTTCAGTACCGTAGGTCTAGCCTACCAGCTGTTGTTGTCGTCTGCACTTCGTCACGCGCACTTATTGCACTTTCTCTACCTCCAATAAAAAGAGTTCCCACTAATTAGGGTCTGATCGATTTGCACCAAGTGGGCACGTCGCTCGATTTGTTATGTTTCTCATTATTACCTATACATTTTTTCAGTAAATATACACCTTTATTAACATTTTTGAAATTATCAAGTGGTTACAGATGGATTTATACAGTATTAAAACAGAAAATAGAAATATGACTTATCATAATTGGATATAAAAATCTCCTGTTTTGCTCTAAAAAGGTCTAAACGTTTCTAAGATAAAACCAAAGGACTAAGGTCGCAGGAGTATTTATAACCCGGGATGAAGTTGCCAGGGGTGGGGTTGGACCTTGGAGCTAATCCTGGTAGCAAATGTGTATTTTTCTCTTCATACTCAGCAATTGTATGTATAGGATCGAAATTAAAACCATTTCAATTTTATGATATAGTGCTACATTCGCCTATCCTGGTTGAAACGGTATGTGTGGTGCAGAAATTTTCCACGATAAACGAACGCACTTGGACCGTTCTATAAGCAGAGCTAAAAATGCACAGTTTCGGAGAATAAAAAACAATGTTTCAGGAATATTATGTCCTTCTTTCATGCGTCAACTGAATTACATAACGTATCTTAAAAACTGCATGTGGCTTGAATTAAGAAAGAAATAACGCAAACTGGCAATAGTCAGCATTTTAGTTTTGTTTCGGCCATGTACGTCTGGACCCCTCAATTTAAACGTGGCGAATTTTCCTGAAGTCAGCCTCGGTCCAGATCTGTGCCTGTCGTTTTCTTTACAGGTTCAACCTGTTCAACCGTTTCAACCGGTAATGCGAATGTACCCCAGGAATAAGTTTCCAAGGCGATACACACCAAGAAGTTTTCTCCAGTTAAATGTAAGGCCAATTTCTATGTATATCCCGGGATGAAGTCACCAGGGTGGGGTTGGACCTTGGAGGTTATCCTGGTAGCAAACGTGTATTTTTCTGATGTGTATTATCACTTCCTGCCCAATAGCCATTCATGAACTGCTGTGGTATTTGTGTTTTTAAATAAAATAAAAAATGTCAAAATACTTTCATTTTTTTTTTTTAGAAATATTTGTTATCGAAACAATAAAAAAATATCAAGCATTTATATGAGTTCATATACACCTGCCTGGCTACTGTATGTGACTTTGAGTTGGGCCGCGGTGGCCAAGTGGTTAAGGCGTCTGACATTCTGCTACCACTAGCCCTCTACCACTGGGTCACGGGTTCGAGGCCTACATGGGGCAGTTGCCAGGAACTGGCCATAGATCGGTGGTTTTTCCCTCGGAACTCCGGCTTTCCTCCACCACCAAAACCTTGCACGTCCTTAATGTATGTGACTTTGAGTAATCATCACAACTAACATTTACCAATTAAAGTATTTTATTAATGAGAGAATGTTTTACACAATTAAATGAACTTTGTTCAACAATGCCATATAATTCACAGTAAAACAATAACTATTTTTGTACCAGCATAGAAACAATTAGAATTTTCTAAAGTAAATTTCAAAATTATTTATTACATATACTGTAACAATTACATGGGTAAATGCAAACAAATAATAAAATATACAAAATTTCTAACAAAAGGTATAACACTGGTTTATCCACACCAGACTCTGTAAAATGTAATATTTAACCCAACATTTATCAGTATAAAAGGAAATTAAGCATATATATTATATATATACACACACACACACACACACACACACAATAAAGTACATTGTGTATATACAATAAATCATGGTTTACAAACTGAAAAATAACGACATCTAGATTTCTTGGATAACAATTTATAAACGTTTCCGAGATATTTGAAGAAAATTCTGTTTTATGTTTTACAACAAGAAACTGAAACATAATTTTTATGGAAGGGGTTGCAGGTAAATAAATCAGCATACAAACAATTCCAACCTATACTTCACAAACTATTATTTCACATCTTAATACAACAAGAAGCTCACTGGCCTGAATAGGTCTCCTAAAAGCCTTAAACAGAGGTAAATGGGTCTAAAATGCCAACATGGTTTAGAACAAATTTTGAATGTACAGTAGGTCTAAAAGAGCATTATTTGTCCATCCTATATAAGAAATAACAGCAAAATAATAAATTCATTAAAATTAATGCAATGAACCTGAATTTAATTGATGTTGCAGCAATAAAAAAAGCTGTCATTCTCTTATTAAACAATAATATTTTAATGCCACTGAGATCCAACTCTTTTAAACCCAATATGATCTCTGAATTGTATTACTCTAGTATGGCCCTGTTTTTGGTCCCTGATGTTCTCGTGTGATTAGATAGGCAATATGTTCTCGTGTGATTAGATAGGCAATATGAGATATGACCTATGAAGTCTCTTTTTAAAAGATTTCCTGAGAAATCTAGAATAAAGTCAAAGATACATCAGAGACCAGAGTCCCGGGCCACATTTAGATATTTCTGCAGCAATATGGATACAACTTATATCCACCATTTACCAGGTAATAAGAAAACAAATGTCTTATCTTACATCAGACAATTCAGACATAAGCTTGAATGAAGGCACTGGAAGACGCCTGGATTTATCCTTTTTGAATTATCATCAACTGAGAATGCTACCCATCAAATATGGTTGATATCTATCACATTTTTCCAGGTCAGAAGTTACTTTAGGCAATATGGCCAAAAGATCGTTTTTGGCCGGGACTTTCAGCTATCCAATGTAGTCCATCCTTCCATTGGTCGAATTCTGAATCCCTATCACCAAAGGTGGATGAAAGTCCAATATGGTGGCCATCCGTCCAGCGGTTCAGGAGTCATTTGAGGATGGATGACACAGTATGTCATAAGCTCACCTTAGTCCTATAATCCATGCTCACCTTAGTCCTATAATCCATGCCAGAACAGAGTTAACCCAGTATAAAAGGTAACAACCTATTTTAGTGTTGTGACGATCAATTGATCCGACACAATGATGTTTGACAGGCCATTCAGTGATCTGTACGTCGGTTTTGTAAATCTGTTACTGTCACTGGATATGTTCCTTTAAATGTTCTTCAGCTTCCTGTAAAAACACAAACACAGTTTTTAAGAAGCAGTCACAACAAAAGAGAGAAACAGAGCTAAACTAACAAGAGATGATGGTGGGCTAAAAATAAGTTACATTGATGATGAAGCTGACAAAGTAGCAGGCGGGACATAAAAGGTGGAGTGTGTAGACTTCTACAGAAAACAATCATTAGCTGAAACAATAACTTAACAATTGTGTCCCAACTGGTTGTGTTACACCAACCTCGAGTATGAATAGGGACATACCTTACTATCATGAAGCGTTGAGAGCCGGTTAGTACAACCCTTCCATGGACAGTTGAAGAGACGCGAGTTACGTGCAAGGTGGTCTGATAGCATATGATGGTAGAGGTGCCCCTTCAGTCCGAACAAGTAAGAACAATCTCCACACTACAAAAACACGAAAAGAAGCATGTTCAAATCGCACTGGCAGCTGCAGTTATTGTTTTCTTTTTTGGGTAAAAGTTATTGAAGATATGAATATGTGGGATGTGAGGCTGTTTGTTGGTCTGTTTGTGTTTTACGTCCTATTAACAGCTATGGTCATTTAAGGACGTGCCAGGTTTTGGTGGTGGAGGAAAGCTTGGGTACCCGGAGAAAAACCACCGACCTACGGCCAGTACCTAGCGACTGCCCCACGTGGACCTCAAACCCGCTACCCAGTGGTTGAGGGCTACCTCATATCCCAGTGACCGTGGTGGCTGAGTGGTTATAAGGCATTTGACATTCTGCTACCACTAGCCCTCAACCACTGGGTAGCGGGTTTGAGGCCTAGTGGTAGCAGGATGTCAAACGCCTTAACCACTCAGCCACCACAGTCACTGGGATATGAGGTACACATGGAACTAATTATGCATGCATGATGATATTCTGATATAAAATATTTGAATGTAAATAGATAAATTCAACTGATAAGATTAGAAGAACAACTGCCCTACAACATTATGCCATGAGGCCATGAAAGAATCTTTCTACTTCAAAACACAAATCTCCTATATTGTGTTCTAAAGTTGTCTTACGTATGAAACAGAGCCAGACATCTCTTAGTCAGGTAATAAAAGTCTGGAACATTGTGTTAATGATCAAATACACTTATTTTTTATTTTTATTAAGTTGACAGTGCATGGCATGGCTGCAGATTATATGATAGAATTGTTTTTAGGGAAATTCATGAAAATACAGCTGAATCAGATCCCCCAAGAGTCTTAACTGATTCACCCATGAAATTTCATAATGAACTTTTCCAACCATTGAACTGGAGGAGTTCAAATGTGTCTTCAGGGGTAAATGAGTTAAAGAAGCTTAGGGATATTGGTATTGTGTCTCACCCGACATCTGTGTGGAGTACTCTCCAAGGTCACCACTTCCACGACACCATCTTTGTTACCATACAGAATCTGTAATCAAACCAAAAAACATCTTTGCTAATAAACAGAATCTTTAAACAAAATCATGGAGTGAATGTCCCCTGCTGTGATGTTCTTGTACAGGTAGAATTAATATCTAATTGTATCAGTTGCAAGTGTCTGTATTGCATTTTTTTGAAATTTGCTTTTGCTGGCTAGATCACCAGCAATATTATAATTTGCAGAAGGGGACACATTAGGTGTAGTGGAGTGAATATCAGGGCAGCAATTTTGGAGAGGTTAGAGGAACAGATGGAGGCACAGTAGTCTAGCGGTAGGATGCCAGGCTCGTGACCGCAGGGTCGCGGGTTCAATCAGGACATGGTACTGTGTTGTATCTTTGAAGAAGAAGCTTTATTCTGCTTGTTCCAGTCTACTCAGCTGTTAATGAGTACGTGGTTAGGCAGTACTAGAACTGTTGAATGCAAGCTGTGAGCACCGAAATGGCAGCACCGGCTGTATGCTTCCCAGGGAGTATATAAGAACCTCAAATTATTATTATTATAACTTTAGGTTAGAGAGGTGATGAGTTAAGGGAAAGCAGAGCTATGTTGTTGCTATTGGTCGCCTTACCTTGTCCTTTTGTATGACAATATTAGACGCCACTGGAGATTTCCCCACATAGAACAGACAGTGGAGCTTGTGATTCTGAAAAAATAACAAAAACATGTTTTTAGAAACACTGATGCAGTAGTTGTTGTTTGAAGAGTCGTTGATGAAACACCTATTTTTCTAGGTTTTGTCACCTTAGTCCTATAATCCATGCTCACCTTAGTCCTATAATCCATGCCAGAACAGAGTTAACCCAGTATAAAAGGTAACAACCTATTTTAGTGTTGTGACGATCAATTGATCCGACACAATGATGTTTGACAGGCCATTCAGTGATCTGTCATCATCCCCCAGCAAGGTAGTGTCAGTTCAATAAATAGTCATCAACTGGGAAATCAAATGCTTTGCTTAATTGGAACTTGCATAAATTAATGACCTGAAGTTTTAACCATCAGAAATATATTTTAATCATGTGTTGACGATGTTGATGATGTTGATGAATATTTAAAATCATAATCGACAAATGGTTAGCAATCGGAATTTCAATATAGTAACCTGATTGATGATGGATTGCGTGATAGGTTTATAATGGGACTGAATACCCTGTCTATTGATGTTATGGTAGTGATCTCGGGTGTTCTCTATACACCAGGTTTCGTTCTTTTATAATGGATGGATTTCAAGCAATTTTTATGTAGTTTTATCAATCATATAGTAAAAATCCTAAGAATATATGACTTTCAATACACATTATACATTGAAAAACATTTAACACTTTGATCTTGATGAAGAACCGATTATAATGATAATGGAGTTTGTAATCGGAAAGGAAAAATCGATCGATTTTCTATTATAATCCATCATCAGCCCATCACTAATATCAACTTGGTATGGAAAGCTATTTTGGAGAGTTTCCTGTGACCCAGAAGCTTTCTGAACTGAAATAAGATATTTTAGTTTCTTAGGTTGTAATTTTGGCAAAGATATATCTATACTACGATATATTCCCAAAACATTTCATCTGTGACAATTGTAGCATTGTGTCACTCTGTCACCTTGACTTTCAGTTCTCACATTTGAAAATATATGTTAAGAATTTCATCTGGGTACCTCTGTCATGTTTCGAAATTTCTGAGGAATCTTACATCATCTAACTGTTGAAACACCTGGTGTAGCCTTACCTTTCTGTTGTAACACCTGAGGTACTGGTCATGTCCCCCAAAAAACAAACGACCCTGTTTATCTGTGGCGACACCTCGAATCAAACCCTCACTGTCGTCATAAGTCCATGAAACTTCACTGGTCTGCAATCAAATTTTAGAAATAATTTTCATTTGACTACATTTTTTACACTGTGTATATTTTTATCTATGTAAAATTTCGTTTAATGAAAAAAGTCTACCTCACAGGGCTTTGAGGAGAAATGAGTTTGGTATATGGACATAGTAACACAATGCCGATGTGAATCTAACAAATGAACATTAAAGTTTCTTGAAAAAAATACTTGGGATCTTCTGTACAAATTTATTAAATTTTAAGTGTTATAAAACAGAAATTGAACTGTTCATAAAAAATCCATATACAACCTATTTGAAAGTGTTAAGAAATGATGACAGACAAAAGTTGGATACATTTATAACATGACTGTTGTAAAGTCTCCACAACAGAGTATTACACCAGTGAACAGTAAACTCCCACCTGACATTATTTCGAGCCCCACAACGGAATTATTCAAATCAGCCCTCTACCGTCCTTTTTCAAACGCAAATTAGACCATCTCGTATCTTTTAAAAGCAATCTCTTTCCATGTTTCACTCCTTGTCTGGCATTTTATCTTCAAATTGTTGAAGTTGGTCAGTACCATTTAGAAGTAGAAGTAGAACAGTATGGCTGCCTGCTCACTTTAGGTCGTGACTTACCACCAGATTGTGTTCCATGACCTTTCTGTCCCCTGAACCACTGTACACCATGTGACCAGTCACCTACAGACAATAAATCATAACTAATGACTCACAAATTTACTTGAGTGGTCTTACCTCCACTTTACTATAAAGTATATTCAGTTATCCAGCAGACGACATGGTTAAAAAAGTTATCAGGGCTTTATAGGACCCCACCAGGATTCAGTTAAATGACCTTTCTCACCAGACAAGAGGACTAGAGGGCATGTACTGCTCACCTGGATTTTTAAGCAATCAAAGAAAAAATTATACATTTCATAGCCTGGTTCCTAGATAGGACACTTCAGAGCAAGCTTTTGTTGAAATATACTCAACTGTTTTCTTGAAAGTAGGTCAAGGTCATTTATTTGAACAACATTGACAGCCTTTTATCAAAGCATGCTACAGGCCAAATATCATCACCCTAGGTGTCTTGCTTATTTCAAGAAGTTTTAACAAATTTGATCCTTATGACCTTGAAAGTGGGTCAAGGTAATTCATTTGAACAAATTAAGAGCTCTTATTTCTGTATGGATAGACAGATGGCGGATGGACTATGCATCATGACATAATCTCATTTGGCACTTTGGGCCAGGTGAGCTATACTTAATCTTTCATATTTTTTATGAAGTCCCTGTTCATACATATTTTGGAATGAGCCTCGGCTATTCTCTTAGAATTTAAGCAGGTATTGTTTTTCAGACTGAGAAATAATCAACTTTCATACAGATAAGGTTTAAGTTAATCAGATTGACCTTTGCCTTATCTGCGAGTAGAACTAGAAGAGGATTAATCACATTGACCTTTCACTTACCTGCATACAGAAGACAGTCTTGCTGTGGCCTTCCAGCATACGAAGCAGTAGACCAGATATGGCGTCACACACATAGATGGGGGAGGTGTAGGCAGCCACTAAGAGGATCTTTCGGACACCCTCGATCCCAGACGAGATACAGGTCACAGACCGGTCACAGCACTGGAAACTTTCAAATGTCTTCCCCGTCTACAGCATCACAAACAAGTTTGGTTTTAGTTCAAAACAGATGAACAAGACTAGGTATAATTACACTACACTTTATAGATCTTTGTTCAAAGATTTTATTTCTCTACACCTGATAAATCCTAGCTTGAAGATTTTAATGAATTTTACTGAGTATGTCCTTTAGAGTTGGTCTTGATCATAGAACTTCACACCATTAAGCTAGTGGTCAAACCCTTGACCTCATTTGACCCTTCTTACTTTGGAAATGGTTCAACGTCATCCATTCCTTCAAATTTAATGGCCATCAAACCTTGCGTGCTTGCTACTAGACATATATTGTCATCCACCACCTCTTAGTTATTCAGAATAAGTTATTTTAACAAATTTGACCCCTGTGACTTTGAAGGTGGGTCAAAGACATTCATTTGAAACAAAAAACCTAATTCAAGGATCGATGCTATTGATCTTCTGAATGAAGTTATGATAGATGCTATACATGTAGTTCTTGTATTCTACAAACCCCATAACCTCACAAATTTGTGCTAACTGCTTTGATATCTTAATCTTATTAAACTGACATAGATAATCATCAACCTGACAATCCAACATCATTTTTAGTAATCCCATCTTTTCATCATGTATATATGTGCCATACTTTTGCATCCTTTCCGATGACAGCGCCGTAGTCTGTGCCGAGATACAGCCGACCCCAGGATTCGTGCATACACTGTACTTGATATATCAACTCCATATCCTTAATTATTGCAAATGTCTGTAAAAAGAATGATGTTGGAGTTTAATAAAAATGATAACACTGGAGAAAAGTAAAAGTATCGAAATGTTACTAATATGTGTATAAGATCATGGCTGTTGCCTGGTCCAGCTGATAAGTGGTGCAAATCAAAATTAGGTTCCAGGGTTGAAGCCCTGGGTAGGAGATATGGGGGGCAAAAATAGGTCAGTCAGCTGCTGAAAGATGTCTGAAAAACATCTGGGGGTTGGAAAGGGGGGATTGCATTCGCTTTTGCAGGCTTTGGCCATGAAGTTAGGTATGATTGTGTGTATGTAAATGTCATTTCAGTGGTGTGTTAGTTACTAATATGTGTGTATTGTTTTTTGTGTATTCAATTCACTATCATGCATGTACATTGGTTATCATGTTCTGTATATACAAGTAAAATATTAAGCTTATTCTCAATTATCCACCTTAGATAAATTACCAGAAAATTGTATGTACCTCACAATCAAACAAAAACAATCTCTCAGAAGGTCCACATGCATACAGGCAAAGTTTATCCTCAATGGTAACTACGGCAAGACTTCGCACACAGCACGGACTGCAGTCATACTGACCCAAGAGAGTTCCACTCTGAAAAATAACAAAACCAACACATTACTGGAATCAAAATCCTGACAGCACTAGAAAATGTCTTAAACCCTTTCACCCCTGTGTAGCTTAAGTAGACTCTATCATGCATTGATATGGATGAGTCCATTATGGTCTACAGTGTTGAAAGGGTTAAGAGAGGAATGAATTTTCCCATACCATTGCTTGAAAATTTCTGTAAATAGTAACAGTGGCCTTTGCCTTGACATTGGAACTCTGAAATACAAAAGCATTCCAGGTATTGCCATACATGACCTTTGGATGAAGTTTCATCACAATCTGTCAAAAGATGGAGTGTCTAGAATGATAATGCTGAATCGGGATGTGATGGGGAAAGATTTTCATATCTTTTTTATTCTTTATAGCTCCTGTTAACCTTTGACCCTGGCATGGGCTCAAAGTTAACTTTTACTTTAAAATCAACACATTAGAAAAGATTTGCTCAAGTACCATGGCTATAGGCATTATAGCTCTTTAGAAAACACTTGTATTTGCATTTGGCCAATTGTTTTGCTTTCCATTTGTGTTTGACAGTCAACGTCAAATGTTTCAGGGTTGTTTGATCAAGATTTAAATGAAAATGTTACAGACAAAAAGACAACTGAGGCTGCGCCCAGCTCAAATCATGCTCACATGGCACTTTGGGCTTGTAAGCTAAAGAGTTACTGTTTGTGAGAGTCTAAAAAGGTGAAATACAGCTACTTTCAAGCAAAAAACCTGTTCCGGGGATCTTACCTCCAAATTGAAACGGCAAGGATTGGATTTCTGGTAGGCCACAAACACACTCTGTCCGGTCACTTGTATTTGAGTGACTGAGTCTGCCGGTCCCACCAGCTGTTTGATGGAGTCATCTGTACGACCCTTGTCTGAGCGATGTATCGTACTCTTTACAGCTGCACGTACAGATGCCAACGTCTCAGGCCCTAGTTTGAATCTATAAATACAAAGTATAGCCATATATCAGAACTATGCAGATACAATGTATATATGTACATCAATAACATATTTCAATCTGTCATTACTATGTACTGTATGAATTTTACTTCTGCTAATGTACAAGTATATGCAAATTTGTTGTTGCTACCTTGGATCTCTGATCTTGGGTATGTGACCTTTGAACTCTGACCCTGTGTACAAAATAATCTCTCACCTTTGACTCCTGACTGGGTTGGGGTTTTCCTCGGATTCGTTGGGACTGTCCAGCTGGACCTCCTCCAGTAGACTGCGCCTCGGTTCAGTTCCCCGCGCTGAGCAATCATCGGAACCAGTCTCCACCATACAGACATCCGCGGCGTTATTTGGTCCGGCCTGCTGTACAAAACATACTACACTTTACATAACTGTTACAGCACTGCAGTAGTTTGATGGCAAATCATGTCTATTTCTATACGAAATGTGATTGAGGTTCAGACCTCCATTAGTAGATGACTTTCAAATCATCTTTATACAAAGTGAAGTTACACCATGCATTCTTTGAACCCTGGACCTTGTGTAACATCCATGAACTTTTCATCTATAATTTTCAATGGTTCACAAAGTGTTCTGGGAAAAGCAGAAGAGATTTGACCATTTACCCTTGGTGTATAGTGCCTTAGACTTTGAGGGTACTTGTATGGACCTATATGTGGTTAATAAGCCCCAAGTTATTGTCATCATCATACACTGTGTAATTTACCATCTTGTCATAATATGCAACTGACACACATGTGCACAATCAAAACTAGCAATTTGATTTTTGTGAACAAAAATGTAAAAGTAGTTTGCCACTAATTAGCTAATAGCATGATTTCTTTGCACTTTGCCACTAATTAGCTAACACGCATGATTTCTTTGCACTTTGCCACTAATTAGCTTACACGTATGATTTCTTTGCACTTTGCCACTAATTAGCTTACACGCATGATTTCTTTGCACTTTGCCACTAATTAGCTAACACGCATGATTTCTTTGCACTTTGCCACTAATTAGCTTACACGCATGATTCCTTTGCACTTTGCCACTAATTAGCTAACACTCATGATTTCTTTGCACTTATCTTATCTTTTTACATACCAGCAGAAAAAAAAGTTATAGAGACTTACAAACAGTGCAGTGAATGCCTTTTGTCTGGGATGCAGATATACTTCAAGTTATGTCAAGATATCTTCAACAGTTGAAATGTTATAGCCCAAACAAAACATTTTGCAATTATTTGACCTTTGACCGTGAGGTCAAGATCCCTGGGACCTAATTACGGTACAATGGACACCTTCTGTATGTGATGCAGGTATACTTGTGATCTCATCAAGAAGTTATGAAAGGTTTAAAAGTTACTGCTTTTTTGTTTGAAAATTTTGCACTTGACTGAACTTTGACCTTGAGGTTAATGTCACAGTGACCTACATACACCTTCTTATTTGAGAATCACCAAGATGACTACAAAGCATGTCCACATGTACACTCTGGCTGTCACTAACCTGGAAAAGGATTCTCTGTCTGAGTTCTGTCAGAGGAATGTTGTCATCATCCTGCCCGCTACACTCTGAACTACTGTTGATCACATACTCTTCCTTCTGTTTTCGTTTTGACGATTGATCTCGCTCTTTCTTGGTTTTCCTGCGTTTCCGCGACGGTGACAAGTTCCGGTCGTCCGAGACAGATGGAGATACAGGAGGTTTGCTCTGCTGTCTGACGGGTGTGTTAGCTTCACTATTGGAGCCTTTAAGCGTGTGATCGCTGCCAGAGTCTCCCTGGGTTGAGCCTCGCCTGTTTCCTTTGCAGTATTGCTGTATTTTTGCACCAAGAGACGCATTACTAGCAACACTCTCCTGATTGGAGTCGGTATCTAACACAATTTCATCACTCTTTAAACTTGATTCACTTTTGTAGCCATGTTCTGATTTGGTTTTTAGGAAAGACTGAAGTTTTTCAAACATGTTTTCTTTCTGTCCTGTAAACAAATTGCCAGGTAAATGACCCATGTACTGGACATTGACCTTTGGCTTTGTTGTTTCCGTGACCTGGGGTTGTGTTAATTCAGGTGTGGTGCTTGACACTGCAGGGCTAGATGACTGGTCATCAGTGGTCAGTGGCGATACAGATTTCTTGTTGTCTTCAGCAATCAGCATTTCCTGCTCCTTCCCTTGCCATGACGGTGTCCCTTCTTGTGGTTTGGCACGCAACAATGATTTTAGAGTAACAAATCCTGCTTCATTTAGCTCTGCACTTCCTACCAATGATATAGACTGATCTACCTCAGCTTGACCTTTAGTGTCTCCAATTGTGTCCTTGGTCACTTCCAATGACCCAGTACTGTCTCTGGTGGACTCGAGTGACTTCATGCTGTCTTTGATTGGCCTAACTGACCATGCAGCCCTTCTGTTAGGACTACTTTCTCTCTTAGAATTAAATGCCCTAACAGTATCTTTACTAACCACAACTGGACTTTCAGTTTCTTTACTAACCACACCTGAACTTTCAGTTTCTTTACTAAGCTCAACTGACCTTATGCCGGTAATGCCTCTGCTAGGGTCAGCTGACCTTTTGCTGGGGTCAACTGACTTTACACTATCTCTGCTTGGGTCAGCTGACCTTACACTGTCTCTGCTAGGGCTAATTGGCCTTACAGTATCTCTGTTAGAATCAGCTGAACTTGAAGGGTCTCTTTTGAGGTCAAGCAACCTCGCAGCTTCTTTACTGGTCTCGAATGTCTTTAATGTGTGTTTGTTTGGTTCTAGGAACCCCTCACTGTCGCGGCTGGGTTCGAGGGGTTGTGGACGAGTCTGGAAGACTCTCTGGTCTATTCTTTTAGTCTTCAGTGCCTGTGGTGACGAGACACCACGCATATCACTCCGGTTACGATGTGAGTCTGACGAATCACTCAAAACAAGAAGGCTGTCTGAAGCATTGCCATCTTTAAAAGTTACTCTCTGGTGGTCATGCGAGAATGACGACAGCAGCGAAACCTTGGTAAAGTTGGAGTCCCGGCTAGAGTCAAGGTCACTAGATTCTGCCATCAAATCCTGACTCAAAGGCTTTTCTGGCACACCTGAGGGACCACCATCATGCGTAGATGCAAACAGTCTGTCTACAGACTTAGCCGAAATCTCACTGGATAGGCTTTGGAGACTTTTGGCTTCTGAAAAGGTATACATATAAGGCAATAATTATATTATATTTCTATTAAACCAAAGGCCAATGGCCCAATGTGGCTGAACAGAGTTGTAATACAATCATTTTATAGTGTTGTAAAGTGACAAAGCAAAATTATGCCTATGTATTGTAAATATTTCATTTTAACTGTTCAGTCAATGACAAAATGATGCTTGAGAGTGACAAATTCATTCACCCCTGAAGACATATTTGGACTCTTCCAATTCAAAGGTTAGAATAGTTCATTATGAAATTTCAGGGGTGAATGAGTTGATTGTCATAAAACATACCAAGCCTATATAATTCCTGTACAATCTCTGGTAATAATAAAATGTGTTGATTACCACAACATGTCTCAGACCATATGATCCTTTTTTTTTTTTAAATTAATTGTTTGTTCAACATATTCCATCTCTTTTTGTTAGGGTCAAAATGTAAGTATCCTTAAACTACCAGCCCATGACAAAAATTTGAATTCTTCCTTTGAAAATCAACAAATTAGCCCAAAAGTGTTATATTCTGTTTAAATATTCACTCTGCTAGTACAATTTATGTTGTCCTCACTTGGGAACAAGTGACCTGGAATAATAGAATTCACAATTTTGATAAAGATCATTTAGTACCTTTCCATCAATGGAGAGTACTCTCTCAGTATATGTATATTTTTATTTCTCAGAGCGATATTTGAAGGTCGTTTTTTCATTAGACTCATTACTGTTGCTTGCTGTTTAATTACCACTACCCCGTTTTTTACTTTGAACACATGGCATTATTTCATTTTGATCTAGATCTTCCATCGTCATTGAAGCAGAAGAAGCTCACCCTTCTGGAACACCTGGTCTTATCCTGTTTCTTCTGTCCATGTAAATCTTTCCTTTCTTTATATTTTGCCCTAGTTTTATCGATTTGAATTCAAATTCAAATTTTCTAGATATTCTGGATACTTCAGTTTTCTCTTGTTTATTTTGCTATCTCTCAGTATATATAAGTGATACTTTACTAATTTATCAATACGTGAAAACAATGTGTACACACTAACCTCTCAATACGTGTAAACAATGTGTACACACTAACCTCTCAGTACGTGTAACCAATGTGTACACACTAACCTCTCAGTACGTGAAAACAATGTGTACACACTAACCTCTCAGTACGTGAAAACAATGTGTACACCCTAACCTCTCAGTACGTGTAAACAAGGTGTACACACTAACCTCTCAATATGTGTAAACAATGTGTACACACTAACATCTCAGTACGTGAAAACAATGTGTACACACTAACCTCTCAGTACGTGTAAACAAGGTGTACGCACTAACCTCTCAATACGTGTAAACAATGTGTAAACACTAACCTCTCAGTACGTGTAAACAAGGTGTACACTCTAACCTCTCAGTACGTGTAAACAAGGTGTACACACCAACCTCTCAATATGTGTAAACAATGTGTACACACTAACATCTCAATACGTGTAAACAATGAGTTCACACTAACCTCTCAGTACGTGTAAACAAGGTGTTCACACTAACCTCTCAATACGTGTAAACAATGTGTAAACACTAACCTCTCAGTACGTGTAAACAAGGTGTACAGACTAACCTCTCAATACGTGTAAACAATGTGTACCCACTAACCTCTCAATACGTGTAAACAAGGTGTACACGCTAACCTCTCAATATGTGTAAACAATGTGTACACACTAACCTCTCAGTACGTGTAACCAATGTGTACACACTAACCTCTCAGTACGTGAAAACAAGGTGTACACACTAACCTCTCAATACGTGTAAAGAATGTGTACACACTAACCTCTCAGTACGTGTAATCAAGGTGTACACACTAACCTCTCAGTACGTGTAAACGATGTGTACACACTAACCTCTCAGTACGTGTAAATAAGGTGTACACACTAACCTCTCAGTACGAGTAAACAATGTGTACACACTAACCTCTCAATACGTGTAAACAATGAGTTCACACTAACCTCTCAGTACGTGTAAACAAGGTGTACACACTAACCTCTCAGTACGTGTAAACGGCGACTTCGTAGTGACTGCTCCTTCTGGGACAGCTAATAAAGTGAAAATGGAAATTAATGAGCTAAACAAAAGCACAAATCATTCATTAAGAATCGTTTTCATTAAATGCTTGAAATTAAGCTAATGTTTTATTGAGGGTAAAATATGAAAAAATCAATACAAGTTACATAGCTATATGATGTACAAATAATGTGTATACAGTTTTGTTGAATTTAGTTAAGAAAATTGGGGGAAATTATCAGACAAGTTTTCATCTACTTCCTCATAACCCAAAAGGGCAGTTACCTTTTGGTGGTGTTCCCGTTGTGTGGTGAGCTGCTCTGTAGCTGTCTGTATCAGAGAAGTCAGACGCATGATCTCAGACTCCGTGGAGGACATCTCCTCCCTCAGACCGTCCTCCTCCACGCTAAGATCATACACAAGATCGAATACACTCTCCGATGTAGAGCTTGATCTAGAGGCAACAGATGCAGCATCTCCGGTAGGAACAGTAGGATCTACCAATCTAAGGACAGGCTTGTAGCTGTCAATATTTCCTATTGCTAGACTGTCTGAAGAGAAGTTAAAAATAAATCTTGAAGTTAAACTCTGGTGGTTCTCAAATATGATATTTTCACTAAAGAAAATCTGCAACAAAAAATTAAATGTGAAATCAAAATGAGAGTACAAATGTATCTAAATATCAATATAATCATTTCTTCTTACCTTCACATAGAGGAGGTCCTGTCTCTGTATTTCTGGCTATCCAGGAACTAACATTGCCCTCTAAACTTGCAGCTGTCTCTCTTCCTGTATCCAGTGAAGGCAATGTACAGTACGGTGTGTAGGAGTTTTTGGACTTGAGGGAAGTCTCCACTGCATGCTGAGAGGAGGTATGTTCCTGCGATGAAGGAAACTCTTGTTTTACAGTGACTGGTTTGTTGGAAGGATTTGCTCTACCAGTTTCTGACAACTGTCTGTCCCGAACTGGTTCTCGTTTGTCATGGGACCACCCTTGTGCAGGAATATTCCTAGATTGTACAGGTTCAAGTTTGTTTCTAGAAGATAAGGGTTCAATTTGATCTTTGGACCACGTGGGATTTGATCCTTTTGTAGAAGGTTCAGAGTCAGCTTGAGATTTGGAGTTCACATGTTTAGAATTGTCCCTGAACCGAAGTAAATCTTGTGTGTCTCTTGAACAAGTTGGTTCAGAACTATCTTGGACAGATCTGGATTCCAATGGAGTTGGTGACTTACTCTGAGGCATAGAATAGGGACTAGACACAGGTAAGTCTTCACTTTTGTTCTCGAGCAAACATGGTTCAGAATCACCAATGCAATGCATAGATGCATCAGTATCTCTTTTAGGTTTTGGTTTAGATTTGTTTGCAGACAGAACTAAATTAGATGTGCCCAAATTAGATAGAGGTGTAATTCCCGACCGCACTGTCACCGACTGAGATGGTGAAGTGTCCTGTTCGGGCTCATTTAATTCCTCCGTTTTAATGTGCAAAGATAAGTTGAATTTCGGTCCTTCATCGGTTGTTGACTTTTTGTTTAAGTTTTTGTGATAATTTGTTCCTTCATGTAAATAACTGTAATTTCCTGATTTTGCGCTTGGTAAACTCTCAGGGTTGTGTATGTGTGGTGTAGTTCCTGTGTCTCGGGTTGGCACATTTTCGGCACTTGATTGTAATTCCATGAGGGCCTTGTTAACATCCGGTGAAATTGACGGCTCTCTGTCTCCACTGGCAGACTTTTGTGATTCAAGCAAGAGAGAATCCAGACTACTAAGATCAGGCTTAATGTCTGCTTCTATCAACTCCGCAATTTGAAGTTGTACATCTGCGGATAAATCCTCAAGTCGCAACTCTGTTGCAACACCGTCCAAATCAGTAGTGAGGTCAGAAAGTTGTAGATTAAACCTTGGAAAAGATAATTTATTTTGAGAGAATGCATACGAACGGAGCATTTTGGCCAGTCGTTCTCTTTCCTTGCGAGAACGTGGGGAATTCACCATCTTTAATAAGGAATCTTTGGTGCTGGATTCAGGATCCAAATCGGATGACAAGTCTGAACTTGCTCTACTGCTCTGGCGACTTAGACTTTCCTGATGTGATGGTGAGAATGTTCCTGCTCTACTGCTCTGGCGACTTAGACTTTCCTGATGTGATGGTGAGGATGTTCCTATGTTCAGACGAGTTTTACCTTCCTGCTCAGACACGGGTGTCTTTGTTGTTGGGGAGTCAGATTGATCAGCTACAATTTCATCTGTGTCTCGCTTTCTTAAATCTGTTTTACCAACAGCACTTTCAGATTTAGATTTGGTAGACTTCTTCTTTTTCTTTTTAAGATTGGGACTGGAAGACTTCATTTCTGAATCTGAATCTTTTTCTGCAGATTTTTGTTTCTTTGAATCAACTGCAGACTCGATGCCTTTCCGAATATCATCAATGTCATGTTCTTTCGGAGTCCTCGTCCTGACGTTGCTCTTTGACGACGTCGGTTTAGAGGATTGGTCACTATCTGCAGTATCTGTAGATATCTGATCTGCACAGCCTGCAATATGACCCCTCAGGTAACTTTGATTTATCTTGGATAAATTCTTGATTTGAGAATTGATTTCTTCTGCCTTTTCCATTTTCTTTTTTCGTTCTTTCTTTTCTCTTTCCTTCTTGACCATTTCTCGTTTTTCCCTGAGGTCCTTACAAAGCTGTTCTGCCTTCTCAAGGACGCTGTTATCTGCCTGATGAAACAGGTCAGTAACTTCGCCCACTGACTTAACACTATCGCTTTTCTTTTTCTTTGACTTGTCTTTTTTCTTACCTTTGCTTGTTTTTTTATCAAGGTTAGTTTCTTCTGTTGTACTATCAGGCTCTAAAACACGTTTGCCATCACTGACACTAGTTTTGTACCGCTTGTCTTGATGTAAGTCACCAGACTTTTCGTTGTCTCTGGTTGGAAAACTATCCGAATCCATTTGAACTGAATCTTTCTGCTGCTGAGAATGAATGTCAAAATTAACCGTTTTTTTCCTTGACTTTGATTGGTCCCGTTGATCACTGGTGCGTCTGCGTTTGAGACCTGTCATGTCACTCTCTGTTGAAATATCAAGCTGTGCTTCAGTCAGATGATCTGGAACACCACCTGTTATTGGATGTTCAAAATGATTGTCTGCTGGATGTTCCTCTGCTGTATTATCCCATCTGTTCCCAGCTCTGTTCCTGAAATACCCGTCGGAGTTAGAGCCTCGATTCCAGTAGGAATCGTCTTCCTGGTTACTGCGATCGTATCTCTCATTTGAATTGTCACGTCTGTTCCAGCGGTATTGCTTACCCCCTTTAAGTTGTTTATTTCTCCCGCGTTGGCTCACCGGGAGCTGTTCCTGCGAGTGATGTGTTCGGTACCTGGGGTAGTAGGAAAACTCGTCTTGATGTGGGTTCCTGTTGTTTCTATCCCACCATGAAGTTTCCCAATTGGACTGACCGTGGAAATCTCGATCAGACTGCGGAATAAATCCTCTACTTTCCCAGTTTACATCATATTCATTTTCCCAAAATCGATCCTTTTGATTATCGTCATGGAAAACTGTATTTCTGTCCCTGGGGTGAAATCTAGGTATGTCATTTGATGGATAATGATGAGCATTATCATCTAACCTATTTCCTTTTCCTTTAGGAGCCTTCTTTTTGCCCTTGCCCTTGCCTTTGATATAGGGCTGGGAGAAGGAACGCTGGTGGGATTTTTCATGATGTGATGTTTTGTAATGATGAGGTATTTCTGGGTCAGAGAAGGGTCCCTCATGTTCTAGTTGTCCAGGTAACATACTGTCATCTCTGTAAAAAAAGAAATGAAGTATGAGTTTAAACCTGGAAATGCCTTTCAATAACAAGAATCACATGCACCTTGTAGGTGTGGGTACATTATACATCAGAGGGTGGAACTTCCATACAGTTACAACCCAAAGAGCTGGCCATTTTTGTATCAGGAGAAAGAGACATGCTATGGCTAGACCAGGGTTCAAACTCAGAACCCTCTGAACTCTAGATGGATGCCCTACCAATGGAACTATCTGGTTGCTGACAATCAACCCAGTCTAGTTCCGCTACACTTTAAAGCATTAGAGAGTACACATTCTCTTACCCTGGACAGGTGTATCTGCATTTTTACCGGTGTATTTTTTCCTTTTCTCTTACCCTGGACAGGTGTATCCGCACTTTTACCGGTGTGAGATTTCCTTGTCTCACCCTAGAGTTGAGACGGGGGGATTCTCCTATTCATAACAATGGTATGATATCACTTCAACAATACAATGACGTCACGTCAACAATCCATCAACGTCACGTCAACCCTGAATTTAGCATGTAACGTTATCATTACATTGTGTATATGATACACAATAGGAGAACAGGGCCAGAGAAAAATAATTCACCCCCTTGTTGGTGAGATAGGGGAATCTCAACCCAAAGGGAAAGATTTTTAAGTTGCCAAACACGAGTGTTTGGCAACGACATTTACACTGGAGGTCAAGATTACAGTGACCTCATGATAGTGCATATCTTTAACAATTTAAAAGTTAATACCCAGACAAGAAATTACAAGAAGAACCTGAATAAGAACCTGCACTTACACAATATATATCCCTTCATTCAAAGGGGAGACATGATAACATTACTACTTATCTAATAAAAATGAATTACAACATAATAATATTTACAATACAACAAAATAATATAATTTGAACCAAAGTCTCTGATGAATATATACCTTACCTTGATTGTCTGTCAGGCCATATCAAAGAAGAAGATTTTTTTTTAAAGATCTTTCCTCTGTTTTAATGGCCCCCACAATTCTACCATTGTGGATTTGTTTATTTTTCATATGTACAAATTTCCAAATCACACCAGCAAGTCACATATAAGATGAAAATACTTTACTTTAAACAGTACTCACCTATAAATACTTTACTATAAACAGTACACACCAATAAATACTTTACTATAAACAGTACTCACCTATAAATACTTTACTATAAACAGTACACAACAATAAATACTTAACTATAAACAGTACTCACCTATAAATACTTTACTATAAACAGTACTCACCTATGAATACTTAACTATAAACAGTACTAACCTATGAATACTTTACTATAAACAGTACTCACCTATAAATACTTTACTATAAACAGTACTCACCTATGAATACTTTCCTATAAACAGTACTAACCTGTAAATACTTAACTGTAAACAGTACTAACCTATAAATATTTAACTATAAACAGTACTCACCTATAACTACTTAACTATAAACAGTACTAACCTACACCTATGAATACTTTACTATAAACAGTACTAACCGAGGAATACTTAACTATAAACAGTACTTACCTATAAATACTAAACTATAAACAGTACTAACCTATTAATACTTAACTATAAACAGTACTCAACTATAAATACTAAACTATAAACAGTACTCACCTATAACTACTTAACTATAAACAGTACTAACCTATGAATACTGAACAATAAACAGTACTAACCTATGAATACTGAACAATAAACAGTACTAACCTATGAATTCTTAACTATAAACAGTACTCACCTGTAAATACTTAACTATAAACAGTAGTAACCTATGAATACTTAACTATAAACAGTACTCAACTATAAATACTAAACTATAAACAGTACTAACCTATGAATACTTAACTATAAACAGTCCTCACCTATAAATACTAAACTATAAACAGTACTAACCTATGAATACTGAACAATAAACAGTACTAACCTATGAATACTTAACTAGAAACAGTACTCACCTATAAATACTTTACTATAACCAGTACTAACCTATGAATACTTTACTATAAACAGTACTCACCTATGAATACTTAATTATAAACAGTACTCACCTATAAACACTTAACTATAAACAGTACTCACGTATAAATACTAAACTATAAACAGTACTAACCTATGAATACTGAACAATAAACAGTACTAACCTATGAATACTTTACTATAAACAGTACTCACCTATGAATACTTAATTATAAACAGTACTAACCTATGAATACTGAACAATAAACAGTACTAACCTATGAATACTGAACAATAAACAGTACTAACCTATGAATACTTTACTATAAACAGTACTAACCTATGAATACTTTACTATAAACAGTACTAACCCATAAATACTTAACTATAAACAGTAGTAACCTATGAATACTTAACTATAAACAGTCCTAACCTATGAACACTTAACTATAAACAGTACTCACGTATAAATACTAAACTATAAACAGTCCTCACCTATAAATACTTTACTATAAACAGTACTAACCTATGAATACTTAACTATAAACAGTCCTCACCTATAAATACTTTACTATAAACAGTACTCACCTATGAATACTTAATTATAAACAGTACTAACCTATGAATACTGAACAATAAACAGTACTAACCTATGAATACTGAACAATAAACAGTACTAACCTATGAATACTTTACTATAAACAGTCCTCACCTATAAATACTTTACTATAACCAGTACTAACCTATGAATACTTTACTATAAACAGTACTCACCTATAACTACTTAACTATAAACAGTACTAACCTATGAATACTGAACAATAAACAGTACTAACCTATGAATACATAACTATAAACAGTACTCACCTATGAATACTTTACTATAAACAGTACTCACTGGACACGTTTGTTGAGTAGAGCCTCTTTCTGAAAAGTCATAGTTTCTTTGTCCTTCTGACGTCTTTGTCCTTCTATTGCTCTCTTGTGCTTGTCTCCGATCAAATGTTTCCCATACTCGATAATATTGAGACAGGATGCAAAGCACAGCGTACAGTTATGGGCGGAGCCTCTGTAGGAGTAGAAGTAAAATGTTGAGTATATATATATAAAATCAGAAAAACATTCAAAGTCCTTGTGATGGTTAAAGATGAAAAAATAAGACAAGAGTTTCTTCGACTTCCCTATCGCTTTCACCTCTTTAGAGGTTTATCAGGGGAATAAAACAGGGGATTCCCCTGATGAACCTCTAAAGAGGAGAAAGCTATAGGGAAGTCGAAGAAACTCTTGTCTTTTATTTTTACATATATATAAGTATATGTATGGGTCAAAGAAGTAATATAGACGGTAAAATCCCATATAACACTGGATCCTAATGGAGGTGTGTCCGTAGGATACAAATTATTTAAAATAGTATATGGGGCAAAGAAGCAATTCCAACAGTGTGGACAAGTTTAGGTTGTCAAATTTTCCGAGCAATTCGCTCCTTTATCAAGACACAGTGAAACAGAACACATTGGGCGAGTCGTCTTAGTGCACTTTCGCTATAGAGCAGAGCCAGCGAGCGTTCTGATATTTAGACTATCAGCGTTCCTTGTCCGCGATTCTCTCAGCTTAATTGCTGCCTTCGGCTGTCTTTAGCCGAGGGGACTATTGGTTTTATGTAATAACTATATTTTCTATTATAGTATATCAGTTCTATCTTCTTATAATATGATGTATATGTACATGTAACTGTTCTGTTTCACTGTGTCTTGATAAATGAGCGGATCGCTTCGAAAATTTGACAACCTAACTTGTCCACACTGTTGGAATTACTTCTTTGCCCTAAAAACATATAAGTAGGTATAGTCTACAGTTATACAGTTATGGGTGGAGCAAATGTACTTGTAAGCAAAATGAAAATGGTTGGTCAGGTTGTGAGGTGAGAGCTCTAGTTGATGGGAGCAGGGTCACACATGATGTTGAGTCCCCTTGGCCTAAGGTGCTCCAGACCATATTTATTTAAAATCCACCATCAGTACTGAAGGAATATAATTTTAAAGATTTACCATTATTTTTCATAGTGGCCATGGGCTCAGCCCTCCAGATCTTTCCCCAGTAGGGACCTCACCCTCGTTTAACACAACATTAAGTACTGTTTGCCTAAGGCTGCTCCTGCCTTGGTTGAAATTCTTAGTGCTAAACGTGAAGGTGGATTTTGATTTTTTTTCTTTATTTCCCCTATATGTCCCCACCTTTCTGTCTCCAGGTTTGCCACACCGGGTCCCACTGACTCCATTGGCCCCTTAAATGGCTCCCAAATATTCAAAATTAAATTCCTAATGTAAGGACTATAGATTCTGCACCACAGCATAAGCTCACTGGGCCCTCAAGGCTGAATGAGCTAATGAATCTATATCTAACACTACATAATGTAGGCAAATTACCTTATCAAACAGTATTTGAGTTTTATGTCAAGGTTTGATAACGAGCTTAAAAGATAAAACATTCTTACTTTTTCTTCTTCTCAATCTTGATATGGTGTATGAGTGACCAGGCATGATCCCGGAATTCCTAATAAAACATAAAACAAACATTGATTATGGTAGTACACTCTGACCATGGTCCCCATTACACATGGCCCTTATTAGCTATCAATGCAAACATTACCATGGCCCAGTCTTTTATTCTCTGAAAAAACATATACCCGGACAAACTTCTTTATACATGCAATATACTTTTTTTTTCCATTTAAGCTTTGTTGTCAAAGGCAAAGTCTCCAAACATAAGATGAAAATATATTGCTCAGACTGGGGTTGCCTTAGTGACATTCTCTTTTAGTTTTATCCCCAAAAAAGCAGGCTTGCTAGACAATAAGCTACCCATTGTACTCATAACACTATGGAATCTAACACACACCATATATTATAATGTAGTAGGAGTGCAAAAATGCACGGCCAGACCAGGGTTCGAGCCCAGGACCCTCCAAACTCTAGATGTTTCCTCTAACAATTTAGCTGCCTGGTCGCCAATGATTGACCCAGACCAGTTCTGCTACAAATTTACAACCCACTCTCCTCATGAGAATAATCTTACACAGACTTAAATCTCATGCAAGGGAAAACTCACCTCTTCATGACAATAATCTTACACAGATCTCGATCTCACACAAGGGAAAACTCACCTGCTCATCAGAATATGAGATTTTACACAAATCACATTCCAAATCATCTTTCTCAGTTCCCCCCTGACCAAATGATTGCTTAGCCACAATGTCCAGATCCATGGTAGTTAATTGTCAACAATGAATCATCTGGAAACAACAGAATTTACAAGTAAATATTAGATATACCTCATCATATCGGTATGACAACCATAACATTTTACAGATCATAAGAGTATTTATCTGCATTTCAGATGAAACATCTAACTATCTATCACATAAAAGGTTATTTGTTTTCAAGACAAACTTGTCACTTTACATATTTAAATAATTAACTACCTGTGAGCTAGATTGCAAGATTACAAAACATTTACATAGTGAAATCAGAAGCCTCAACTCTTTTGATAATTTTCAGTTTAGCTCGTTTGGTAGATAAGTAAACCAGATTTCCAAGGTTCAGTTCCTTGTACACATCTATGGCATTGGCTCTCTCACAAGTATTGATGTTCCCTCCGAAATGTTTTCAATACCTCAGCTAGGTGTCAAGCCCAGGATTGTTGGTTTACTAATTTTTAGATATATATTTAGAAAGTAGCTAATCTTTAACCAGGTAGGCATACTCTCCTGCAGAGAATATTTATATCAATGTTTCCCAGTTGACCTTTGCACCATTATGTAACAAAAGTCATTGTGCTTTTTCAATGTCTTTAGCTGCTGGGATCGAACCTGGGACCTTTCAATTTCAAAAGTATTTTATTGACAATACATATATAATACAAACATATAAGTTAACATTAAAGAAGATATAAGAACAGTTTTGACAAAAGAATAAGACAACAGGCTTTGCCTATATCAGTCTTCTTCTAATTCTGGTAGCTATGTACAATGCTTAAATAAATAAAATGTTGTGATTCGTTTTCCTCTCACACTCTTGCACAACCACACCCACACCAGCTTATGTCTAATACTCGTTATTTAAGGGATAAAACTTGCCTGAATAACAATAATTATAACAATACATGAATATTCATTTGGAATTTATCTAGCACGTATAAGTAACGAAACGTTTTGATGATTTAATATAAGAGTCAACATGTATAAGAATAGTTTTATTTAATTGGTTGGATGCATTACTAATACCATATACTAAACAGTGCAGATTTAAATATCCTACTAGATTATAAATAGTGGTAATATGATGCCTAATATTAGAATACAGAGGACATTGAAAGAAAAAATGTATTAGATCTTCCCTCTGTACACCACATACACAGGAAGCATCATCAATCAGATGGTCTTGTAACTTATCACAGTTAAGATCACTTTTAAAATTTCTTAGCTGACATAAAATTATGTTAAGTTTCCTCGGAACACAGTTAATAAAAGTTTCTGAGACGGATGTATCAAAGGTTTTTTTAAGTTTCTTTTTAAAAGATGAAATTGAGATGGAGTCTCGTACAGTGCTATCAAGTGCATTCCATTTTACCATTGTAGAAGGGAAGAAGCTATTCATATAAGTAGTAGTTCTTGTCTGTGGTATATTAAAGAATCTGTTATTTCTGAAGGTATAGTTATTATTTACATTTAGAAATGGTTGAATGATATTATCGAGATAAGTTGGAGTGTAATTATTAAGAATCTTATACATTAATGTTAGTTTATGATTTTGTCTTCGTGTGTGTAATGTTTCAAGTTGTGTTTCAGTATACAGAATGTGATGAGATGTACCTCGTCTGAGGCCAGTAATTAAACGTATAGCTTCTAGTTGAATTGATTCTAAAAGATCTGATTCCGATTTGGTACAATTATCCCATACTATATCAGAATATTCTAGCACAGGTCTTATATAAGAGACATATAATGTTTTTAATGTATTCCTATCAACTGTAGTTTTTAAAATTCTAAGAATACTTAGTCTAGAGTTCGCTTTCCTGGGACCTTAGGTTATTACTGGTCTGACACTCTACTAGTACTAAATAAAAATTATCTGTAGCTGAGTCATTAGAAAGTAGCTAGTATTTTACCAGATTGACAATAAATCGGATGATTCCTACACTGATGGGGGAAATATTACCACAATTAAATACTTGGTAGAATTTTTCTTCTTCTCATTCTGTAGAGCATCAGACTAGTAAAGAAGAGGCCATGCGAGTCACTTTTGTTTATTGCAATCCAAACAGTTGTTTGTTTATGACAAACTTATAGGTCAGACCTAGTAATTTGATGCTGCTTTGAGGCAAGCCTTCACAAAGCCTTACAAGGTGTGGATAAATATTGATTTGCAGGTCAGCTTGGATTTATACCAAAAAACGTAAAATTCAAAAACAGCTAGGGACAAACCGGTTGTTCTTACTTCTGCATCAACGAACAGTTCCCAATGGTTTGATCTCTAGTGAGGCCATTGAAAAAATAATGGCCCCTGTTACATACACAATCGAATGGTATTTAGTATGATAGACAATGATACATAAACAACAAATCTAATTCTTCTCCTTCGATCTTATAATTTAATAGTTATCGAAATGCAACAAAAGAAAATGAAACAACCTGTTATCATAATTCTAGTACCTCGATTTACTAAAGTAAGGATTCTCAGAGAATTAAAGAAATAATGCTTTTTGAAAATCAGGATATCTTACATTATGCTTCCGTTGTTTACGATCATATATGCATCTGTTGAACATGTTTACACCTGTAGGTAACTTTTTGTGTTACCTGGATTTGGAGAAATATTTAAAGGGCACATCAACGACAACAATGTTTTTGAGTATGTCAATCTGTCCCCAATGTCGTAAATTATAAAGTGCGCTAACTGTTTTCCAGTGTCAACCTACACAGAAGTGCTGAAGACGTCCAGCAACATTGTATCTGGCATGGATGTTCAATTAGCAGCCATCTTGTTTTCAGGCGCGTTCGATGGGTTTACAATGATATCAGAACAACCAAAATGATAATTTTCCAAATAAGGAGAAATTGAAACAAGCACAAGTGTTGAACGTTCAAAAAATCAGAAATTTCAAAAATATTCTATTCAAATAAACCTCCATACAAATGAGATAAAAACGGATGTGGCATTAATACGAAATAATGGTATGCTACCTTGTCGATTAGTCAAAAACATAGTTATTTCCCTTGACGAGAACCTCATAAATTCACGTCATTCGATTCCTCAATAAGGGAGTGGGTAGATAACAACTACATTTATTGGGTTAGCAATGCACGAGATGGAGAGAAGGATGAAATATAATCATTGAAAAAAACTCGAGATAAGACATAATACGCGATGAAGTTGATACTGTTTATAAGACCAGTATTTAGAGACTAGCTAAACGAAACTTTACAAACGCTTTGACACGCACGGTAAACCAAAGGGAAACGTTTGATAACAAAATAAGAGAACCATGGAGACAATTTTTCACGAGCAGGTAACAACAATCAAAAGCTCTCATTTTCTGTTTTAAAAGTTTAGAGTTTCTCTTTAAACGTAGATCATAAAACAAAATCTCATTATAAGCAACATCATTTTTCTAAAGATCATGATCGCCTGTCAATAGATTAGTTAGATAAAAGGCCAGACATAAAAATATGTTTCATGTAAGTTGTAACATGTTGGAAAAATTAGGGTAACACATTTTATTTTAGCAAATAATTCTATATGGTTTATATAAGGAGAGTGATATTGACTTTAACAGTGCTTTAAAAATTGTGTTAAAAAATAAGGGTAGAAACAAAAAAATAGGCCTTATCAGGACCTTGTCTGAATCACAGGCATCTGCATCTGGTACTCTGGTCAATATGTGAAAATACAAAAAAACGCCTCACCATCCTACTATATTGATAGAAGGGTAGGGAAGGGTTTTTATATTTATGTACCTTTATGTTCAGTTGATCGTGAACAGGAAGTCCTAGGTAGGTTATAACTGTTATAACCTACCTAGGACTTCCTGTTCACGATCAACTAGCCTCTTAAAAGGCTATTTAGTCTGGAACAGCAGACCGAGTAAAGGTTAATTTTCAATGACTATAACACCACTCCGTATTAAATACCAAAGTTTAAACTAGAATGATTTTTCTACGTTATTGAGCCATAAACATAAAAAGAGGAGTGTACTCTTTTCATAAACTGCTTCCAGAGTAGTCACCCCCTTTTATATGTTATGGCTCAATAACGTAGAAAAATAATTCAAGTTTATACTTATACATAATTTAATTCTGATATAAATAAAAAAAGATTAAATATTTTCAAACATTTGATTGGATAAATCATGCATCAAATGATGCAATACTCAAAATTAATTAAAAAAACAATACACTGACATCATAACGAGACTGTTTCCATCATCCAATCAAAACGCTTGTTACGGTTCTTTCGTCGGGAAGTATGTTATGAGCTGATCACATAAAAAATAAACCAATAGAAATGCTTGTTTTAAACAGAATTATAGAATAACTTGAGAATCTAATATATATAAATATATATTTATTTAAATTAAGAATGTTTTGGTCTGTTAGTATTTCCATGTAGTCTTTATACTACTGTTGAGTTGTATTAGGTGTTAAACTTGGTCTATAATAACTTTACCATGACAGCAAGAAGGGTCCCTGTGTGCCCAGCACTGCCTGAATGCCCTGCTCCAAGCTCAGTACTTCAGTCCTGTCGATCTTGCTGACCTCGCCAAACAACTAGATGAGAGTGAGCGAGAGCAGATGGCCATCGCGGGAGAACAGTCGGAGGAATACAAAAAGTTCCTTAAGGTTGACTATTCTTTGTTATATAAAGTGACTAGAATCATTGTGTTTTGAAAAACATGGCAATATTCAACTCATTCACCCCTGAAGAAACATTTGAACTCCTCCAGTTCAAAGGTTGGAATAGTTCATTATGAAATTTCTGGGGTGAATGAGTTAAACCGAGTAATAACAGTAATATTTTTTCCATCACAAGACTGTTTATCTCTTTATTACTGATTAGAAAACACACTGTAGACTATATCATTACCTGACCATGCAAGTCCCTAGAAAAATATTTTCTCCACAATTAGTGAATTACACCAAAATGAATTGATAAGCATCCCAGTTAAGACAAGATATCAAAAGCTTCAATATACCTGAAAAAATGAAAAAAATGTATCATGAAATTGAAGAGCTATCAACTTTGCTCAGGTAAATGAGTGGTCAGTTGTATACAAAATAAATGCTATTGGCTTCTACAGAACTGGGAGACCTAGAGTTATATTTCAAATGCAGCTTTCTAAGGTATCAAATTTGTCTAATGATTGACCTTTAATTATATAACCACTCTGTCACATGTTAAAAAGAAAAGAAATAAAACTGTTAATCGGCTAATTAAGCGGTGCCCTTTTAATGTTTTCTCAAGATTCATGTTTAATTGTTTTAGTCAATTGGGTTCAATATTTTGGTACGTTTCAGGAGCCATCAAGCAACTTAGATGACAGTGGTTTCTTCTCCATACAAGTGATTGACCGTGCCTTGTCTGTGTGGGGGCTGGGACTTATCCTATACAACTCGCCTAACCCTGTTGCCATTGCTGCCAGGATCAATCCTGTGTAAGTGCATGGGAACACTAGTAGAGAAATATTTTTCTGAATTTGTAGTTGCTTATAAATATCAATAATATTGAGTTCACCTGCTTTGCAAGTGTATTTATTTAGCACATTGACAACATATGGGGTCAATTGAAAAAATCTAATTTGAGCCTACCATTATTTCATTATTTCTTAATATAAGTACTAGATGGATCTTTCTCAATTATAAATGAAGGTTCCCATTGACCCTTAGTTATGCATGTATCATATTAAGACTGGTCAAAAAACAATATGGCTGCCATTCAGCTATCTTTGATTCGGCAGTTGAGGTTAGTTATTTCTATTTCTTCGGAAGTACCGAAACAATCTTTCAAAATCCCTTTAGGCTTCTCTTGGCTTTATTCTTAGTTGTACATGTTTCATTTTGAACCTAATTTGAAAAATAGATGGGCTACCAGTTGAATTTGATGGTTGAAGTTTGTTACCATTATTAAAATTTATTTTTCAAAAAATTTCCTTATATAAATCAAGTATTTCAGTTGGATCTTGACATTTAGCAATTGTAGATTTCAAAGAACATTTTCCCTGAAATTTGAAGTGTCAAAACATAAAGAAGGCATGTCCTATCAAGCCCAAGAATAAAGCTCATTTTGGGAGTCAAATACTAACATTCTCTCAAGGATCTACTTTAAGCCCAAGTATGTAACTGTTATATCAAGAAAGGGTGTCATTTTGGATGATGAGTCCAAAATGGGGTAATACATGCAATATGACTTTTAATGAGAATTTGTCCATGATTGCTTTAATAGTTTAGTGCTACAGGCCCTCTGTGCCTCTTGTTCTTTTAAGTTCCCTATGCAAAGTGACTAGATCGTAGTGAAATGTCTCCAGCTGATATTTTTTAATGTTGTTGATTTCAGAGAAGAGAAGGCATACATATGTAACTTCCGCGGTCATTGGTTGACCATTCGCAAGATTGGACATCAGTGGTTTAACCTCAACTCCTTGCTGACCGGTCCAGAGCTCATATCAAACACCTACCTGTCACTATTCCTCAAACAGCTACTAGAGGAAGGTCTGTATACATGTGTGAGAAAATCGCAGAAAGTATGTAAATTATCATGAAGTCAAAATCAAATGAAAAAGGTCTTTACAACATACTACATAAAAAGTAATCTTACGGATACAAGATTAATTCCTGTTCCTCTTCTTGTTTATACAATTTATTCCCTCTTAGGTTATTCTATATCCATAGAGGGTAATTTGAAGTTCCCATGTGTATACCCCCATAGGTTACTCTATATTTGTTGAGGGTTAAGGAAAGATTTGTATGCCCTGTATAAGTAACTTTTTATGTATTGAGGGTAATTTTAAGTTTCTGTATTTATTCCCCCATAGGTTACTCTATATTTGTTGAGGGTTAAGGAAAGATTTGTATGCCCTGTATAAGTAACTTTTTATGTATTGAGGGTAATTTTAAGTTTCTGTATTTATTCCCCCATAGGTTACTCTATATTTGTTGAGGGTTAAGGAAAGATTTGTATGCCCTGTATAAGTAACTTTTTATGTATTGAGGGTAATTTTAAGTTTCTGTATTTATTCCCCCATAGGTTACTCTATATTTGTTGAGGGTTAAGGAAAGATTCGTATGCCCTGTATAAGTAACTTTTTATGTATTGAGGGTAATTTTAAGTTTCTGTATTTATTCCCCCATAGGTTACTCTATATTTGTTGAGGGTTAAGGAAAGATTTGTATGCCCTGTCAGGATAAGTAACTTTTTAGGTCACCGGAGACAAAGTCTCAAGTGACCTATTGCGATCGCCTTTTGTCCGGTGTCCATCGTGCGTCCTTAAACAATTTACATTTTCGAATTCTTCTCCAAAACCCCTGAACCAATTTCAATGAAATTTTGCAGGGACCTTCCATGGACAAAGGTCAATTTGTATGCCCTGTCAGGATAAGTACCTTTTTAGGTCACCTGAGACAAAGTCTCAAGTGGCCTATTGCGATCGCCTTTTGTCCGTTGTCCATCGTGCGTCCTTAAACAATTTACATTTTCGAATTCTTCTCCAAAACCCCTGAACCAATTTCAATGAAATTTTGCAGGGACCTTCCATGGACAAAGGTCAACAAAAATAGTTGCCGGTTTAGTCCTAAGCCCCCAGGGGCCTGAGGGGCGGGGCCAAAAAGGGTCAAATTTCAAAAATCTTCTTCTCAAGACCCAGATATGGTAGAATCAAATACTCTTCATAGATGGAAGAGTCTTAAGGTTTATGACCCTAGGGTCTCACGTTTACCCCCTGGGGAAGGAGGGGGTGGCAAAATTTATTATGGTTTATAATGGCAAATGATACTTTGAATATTACATGTTAATAACTTGATTGGAATTAAAACCTTGAATTGACAGTTTGATACTTTGAAAATTTTGAGCCAGCCCTACCCCCAAGGGCTGTAGGGCGGGGCTCGGAGAAGTCAGTGTGCTAAAATTTCTTCATTTTCCTTGTTAAGAATCAGAGGTGCTAGTTTCAAATCCTTTTTAGTCTGAAATCTGTATGCTAGATATTGAGTAAGGTGGTTTTATTGTTTTTTGTCACTTTGAATAATATTTCTGTTCATGTTAAAAACAAAATCAACTCTCTGTATAAATATATCAGGTGACCGTTAAGGCCCATGGGCCTCTTTGTTATGTATTGAGGGTAATTATAAGTTTCTGTATTTATCCCCTATAGGTTATTCAATATTTGTTGAGGGTTAATGAAAGATTTGTATGCCCTGTATAAGTAACTTTTTATGTATTGAGGGTAATTATAAGTTTCTGTATTTATCCCCACATAGGTTACTCTATATTCATTGTGGGCGGTAACCTGCCAGAATGTGAGGCAGACATGCTTCTAAAAATAGCACCAGTCAAACAGCAAGTGAAGCCTAAGCTGATCAACGAGAACCTGTCTGTGTCGAGTAACCAGCCAATGGAGGAGGAGGAGGACGATCAACAGCTACAGAAGGTGTTAGCCGAGAGTCGACATGCAGACGAGCACGACGACCAGGCACTGCAGAAGGCTTTACAGCTCAGCATGGAAGGTAGGTTACCGGGACAGTCAAACACTGTTACATGGAGAAAATCACTGCCCTGTATCCAGCCAATCATGTTTACGAGACAGATTTCCACAACAACGTTTGTACTACTACTAGTTATTCAAAAATGGTATTTCTGTGACATTGTTAATCTTCCTTTATGGTCTGTCATGAAATGTCAAATTCTGACCAAAGATTCTATTGAAAGTTGCACAAGTAATATTTAACTTCAAAATATTCCAACAATGATTTATAAGGTTTAAATAGAGTAATGATATCATGGCCATAAGGTGTTGACTTCCATGCTATCAAGTTTGTTTTCTTCAGCCGTAATGTGAACAGGGATACGATGATGCCGTCTGTCCGAGGCGGTGTCCGGAGCATATCTCCCACATTATTTAACCTGGGATCATCAAAGTTTGTATACTGGTACATCGTGAGGAGGCGAAATCTGAATGTTGGGTAGAAAAATAGGTCACTGTGACCTACATTTTGACCTTCGTCTTTAATCAAGGGTGCAAAATATGTGAGATACCACTTTGTTAGGATCATATCTCCCCATTATTTCACCTGCAATCATCAAAGTTGGTATGCTGATATATCTTGGGAAGGCAAAGTGTCACGTGAAAAATAGGTCAATCATTAGGCAGGTTATGAGCATAACTTCCTGCAAGTCTATATGAATCAAGTCCATAGTTTAGGGGGGGGGGGGGGGGGGTGTATTGGTAAAATGTTGCATCCTGGTTTAAAAACATTTAAAATTGAGATGCGAGAGGTATTTGCCAACGACATTGAATTACTAATGAGTGGTACGGACCCAATTGGCCTCCTGTAGTTACCTAACAGAAAATACTCTGCATAGAACACAACCATGACAATCATCAAATTGCCATTCATGTGTGATTGATGAGGTGCTTTACTATACAACAGGAGTGATCATTTTGGTCTGATTTTTTTTTCAGGCTATGCTTGGGAACCTTTGCCAGGTCCCTCAGTTAAGTCATCAAGCCTAGGTGCAAGTGCTGCCGCAGGGTCTGAAACAAGACAATCATCTTCCCCTCCACCTGAAAGTCCCGATCCTGAAAATGTGCGACAAAAACGTTTGGCCTACCTCAGTAGACTCGAGTCTCCAAAAACATGTGATAAATCAGAACAAAATTCTCTAGAGAATGATACCACGCCATCAAACAACCAAAAAGACATTTCTGAATTGGAAGAGTCCAAGAAAAAAGAATCATCTAAGCCTGAATTGACCAAAGATGAAGAGAATACGTCACAATCTGTTACAAGTAAGGAGCTTTGCTAAACTACTCAAAAGACTTTACAGACAATAAATAATGTCAGTACATACAATTGAAAAATTACTGAAGGATCCTTAAATTTCTCATTTTTGAACCATTAAGTTTCGTTTTAGTCACCAGAGCCTAATGCTTATGTGATCCATCAAATGTATTAAGGTATTTAAAGGAAGACATTGTTCTTATAACACCTGTTGTTTGTTCAAATATTTTACCTTGACCGATTATAAGGCCTCAGGGGTCAAATTTGTTAAACCTGTAACAGCTTCTGTACAGAATAATCCAGAGGCTATGGGTTATGACCGGTAGCATGAGAACAACTAAAGGATGTCACACACTTTCAGAGTCTTAGGGATCAAATTTGTGAAAAAATCTTAAATGACTTAATCTGAATAACTGAGAGGCCTGATATAAGATGATGATATTTGGCCTGTAGATATGATGGGGCAGGGGTAATCTTGGAGGGCCATAAGATGATGATATTTGGCCAGTAGATATGATGGGGCAGAGGTAATCTTGGAGGGCCATAAGATGATGATATTTGGTCTGTAGATATGATAGGACAGGGGTAATCTTGGAGGGCCATAAGGTGATGATATTTGGCCTGTAGATATGATGGGGCAGGGGTAATCTTGGAGGGCCAGAAGATGATGATATTTGGCCAGTAGATATGATGGGGCAGGGGTAATCTTGGAGGGCCAGAAGATGATGATATTTGGCCAGTAGATATGATGGGGCAGAGGTAATCTTGGAGGACCATAAGATGATGATATTTGGCCTGTAGATATGATGGGACAGGGGTAATCTTGGAGGGCGATAAGATGATGATATTTGGCCTGTAGATATGATGGGACAGGGGTAATCTTGGAGGACCATGGGGCCATTGACCTCGCAAAACTGAAAAAGACCCCTCCATTTTTTAATTTAATTTTTATTTTACATATAATAGCCCCTCTTAATTTTGAAATTGACTAAAATTTGCTGAAAATGGCTCACTGCTCTCAAATTCCAGGATATTTCGTGTGGGGTAAAGACTCATCAACAAACCTGTAAGAAATCAAACAAGCACTGCAGGGCTGTACAATAAGGGTAGCCCCGTAGTCTGAGACAAGTGAAATCTCCAGCTGGCTTGGTGGTTCTATAAACCGCCAGCCTGATTGACAAGTCAAAATTTGATATTGCTTATCTTGTTGAATGATATTAGGTTAGTGGAATTTACACATCGACTAAACAAATTAAAAACTAATACCCCAATTGACTAGTGGTATTCAAAATTAGTTTCTAGCCCTGCACTGGTTTTATTTTAGGACAGACATACAGAAATACTTAGCTCCATTGTGAGGGGTATGACGAGATATTTTCAAATCAATGGATATTTTTACAGACAGGTATGCAATAAGACATCTATTTAAATTTCTTTGAAATTGAAGGGTTCTGCTTTCCATACACATATCTTCTGTACATCCCATACACATATCTTCTGTACACCCCATACACATATCTTCTGTAAACCTCATACACATATCTTCTGTACACCCCATACACATATCTTCTGTACACCTCATACACATATCTTCTGTACACCCCATACACATATTTTCTGTACACCCCTGGAACATATCTTCTGTACACCCCATACACATATCTTCTGTACACCCCATACACATGTCTTCTGTACACCCCTGGAACATGTCATGGCAGAACTGAAGACACATGATAAACTATTCGATTGGTTTTAAGTATAAACAATAGCGGTCGTGGGATTCTTTTGATGTACATCAAAGTATCAAACTCTAGTCTACTTCTGCAAATTGGTACTTACCAAGATTCTTTCATGACATATTCCAGAGAGGCAAGAGTGGTACCCTTGGGTTTTGAAGATGCTATTTATAGAACTGTTGACTGATTGCAGATGTTTATTTTACAGGTGAGATGAGTGAGGAGGAAATGTTACAGAGAGCCATTAGCATGTCTATGCAGGCGGGAGATAAGTGAGACACAGAGTGTTATTTTTTTAACAGTTGAGAAGAGTAAGGAGGAAATGTTACAGGGAGCCATTAGCATGTCCATGCAGGCAGGAAATAAGTGACACAAACTTCGTGTGTATGATTGTGTCCCGAACTGGACGTTGGTCAGATGTGGGCAAACGTGGTCAACTCCAGTAAATGCTGAATTGTCCAGATTCAGGTACTTGAAAACTGCCTCATGCAATTTTCATTAACACCATCCCAAAAAATGGGGCTAAATGTCCGGGTGTCTGTGATGTTGTTCAGCTTTGGGTTGGGATGTGATGATAACTGACGTGGCATTTGTGAATGACGGGAGATTTTAGAGTTTGGGAATGATTCATGGAAACTTGCTAAAGACTGACACATTTTCAACGCTATGTACACATGCTGATTTTATTTAATGATTAAAACCTTTTTAAAAGGAAATCAAAGTTGTATATTCTTGTATGTCTGCAACCATTTTTGATGGCCATGTGTATGTGTCTGGGAGCTAGTTTGACACTTATGTAAGTACGGGAGCAAGTTTGATGGGTCTGCTATGTCTGACATCAAGATGATCATGTCCTACAGTAAACGTCTGAAAACCAGAATGGTAATCATGTACATCTGACAGTCATGATCAGCTGTTTGATGGTTGATATGTTTGACAGCCAGTTTACTGATCAATTAAGTTTGACAGCAAGTTTAATGGTCATGTATGTTAGACAGCAAGTTTAATGGTCATGCATGTTTGACATGTTTAATGAATCATTTGTGGTGGAAAGTTTGGGTAAGATTCAAATATACATGTATTTCATTTTGTCAACAAATATATCTATCTGTGTATCACACTGTCCAATGGCACCTTCCAGGGTCTGGTTTTTCCACCATTGAAGTTACAAAGGAAATGGCATGTTCGGTACATTGCTATTGGTATATTAAATAATAGCCTTAGAAGATGTTAGCCAATGCACATTCATTTGTTTAAATGGTGTGTTTGTTCAGTTTGGGATACTTATGTTTTCAACCCTAGGAAACTTTAGTAAACTCTACCATACATTTATCTGGATGAGTCCATTATCGTCTACAGTGGTGAAAGGACTAAGCATGCCAAGTATGATGTTGTTGTTCTTTGTATTTATGAGCAGAAATAGATGTGGACTTTTGATGTTATTCATATTCCAACATCTCATTTGCTACCCGTAGAAAAAACCTTAGCACAGGTGGGTACACCAGTCTATTGAAATACATAGTACATACTGTCGGCATAAAGAAACACTAGTTTATTTTCGGTAGTAAACAGTTTAAGTATTTGATGGATGATGACCATTCGTCATATTTTTAATGTATTTTCTCATTTGTGATACACTTCTGATGAATTTCTTAATATTGCCACAGACAGCACTTGCTTAATTTCCTAATAACTCTGTCTCCTAAGCATTGATCTCACCAATAGAGCCCCATCTAAAGCAGGGCCTGCCAGATTTAGATTTGGGCAAAGTTTTGGATGAGGTAATCACACAAGTCATCAAAATGTTACCCTGCTGCATACTTAGATTACACTGAGATCCTAGATTACACTGAGATCCTAAATTACACTGAGATCCTAGACAAGCAACATTACCATAGTTAAAACAACCTTGTGAAAAAAGGGGATGAGGGAAGGTGGGAAATTTTCTAACGTTATGTATGCTTATGCATTTTTTTTTTTTTTCGTCAGCCAAACCTTGATTCTGCTCATAGAAACAGCAACTTAAATGATGGAAAAAGCACAACCTCAGATTTGCCATGGGACAGAGTGAAAATTTAGTAATTTACAAATTAAAAAGATAGCTTATTTAATTTTGGAGATCACCTGATTGTATGCATGTAGCAAACTATAAGAGTTTGTATAAACACTCTTGTATTTGACGAGGAGTTAATTTAACTGATAGTTAAGACTATACATGTAACCGAGTTATAAATAGCTACACTACTTACCGTCCACATTGTATCTACTAATAACGATCCACTGCCAGGTGTTTTCTAACAGGTGAACAACTTGTTCTGTTGTGTAATGGAATGGAGGATGAGGAATTTACACTAAGAGAAGGTTATACATGAGGCCAAAAAAAATGAGGCAAAAGATGTATGTTTCAGGTAATATGACTAAATAAAATAGGGTGGTTCGGTTAGGATTTATTTCAATTTTTTTTTTTTTTTTTTTTTTTTTTTTTTTTGACGGTGTGGTGCTAAATTTAAGAAAGTACAAAAATAACCAAACATAAGTTTAGGTCTTTTAATTAAGGTAATAGGTTTGTGTCACCATTTCTCAGTAGAGTTTCTTCAAATTTTTTAGTTATATTGCTTTGAAGTAAAGAAAATGTTCTGCCACAAAAAAAGTAGAGGTTGTCATAATTTTAAGGATTTTAAATGGAAATTTGTGTAAAAAGGAGTGAATTTTGAAAAAAAATGAAAGACACAGTTTTTTGCAAAATAATGTCATTAAAAATGATACTGCCATAAATTATAATAAAACCATATACACATAGTATAATTGCATGTAAGAGTTATCTTTCTTGAAAAACTTCACAGTAGTGAAATAGGTAGCCGGTTTCCTGAAGTAAAGAAAAATGGACACATGTGACTCTTTGATAAAAAGCAACTGAATTAATGCCTGGATTGCTTTGAAATACTTTAATATTGAGAGTACACACTGTTCTGTTAATAATAAACATGCAATAGTCATCAGTTTAAGATTAAACATTAATTGTGATACTGTCTCGAGCTCCCTACATTGGATTTTCAACTAGGGATGTACTTCCTATTTCCGTTTATCAATACGTTCATTCTACCATAGACCTACATTAGCATTAGGTCTCTGATTCTACCTAAATAATATGGGATTTAAATTTGATTTTGATACCTGCCTATGAAGTAGAAAAGGTATATATATAGATGTCTTGTTTATTCATCCATCAATTTGTTTGCATCCGGTGGACAAGTTATCCCAATACTGGATGGAGTGCTTTCCAAATTGTAAGAGTTGGAGGTAAACACTAGGTTTGGTCGTGGTACCTGAAACATACATTTTTTTAACGAAAAGTGAAATTCCTTAATACTCATAATCCCAAATTATCTTCATCTCCATTATTTGGTAAGAAGGATGTTTTGTATCATGCCTTTTCAGGAGATACAGAGTAAAACATTGTTGTCATATGGCATGTACTGGCAAACCCAATAAAATTATTCAGAATTGAGAAAGTCTGTGGAGTTGTCTATGATTGCTTTAATACCAAAGTGAGGGAAACAGGCCTATTGGACCTCTTTTTATAAAGTCACATATGCATCGAAGCATCAAACTTTGATCAGACTTGGGTTAGAGATTTATATATGGTGACAAGGTTTAGAGAGTATGGTCTCTAGTATAGGATTTAGAGATTTATATATGGTCACAAGGTTTAGAGAATATGGTCTCTTGTATAGGATTTAGAGATTTATATATGGTCACAAGGTTTAGAGAGTATGGTCTCTAGTATAGGATTTAGAGATTTATATATGGTCACAAGGTTTAGAGAATATTGTCTCTTAGTATAGGATTTAGAGATTTATATATATGGTCTCAAGGTTTAGAGATTTTGTTCACACTTTGATGTTGGTTGTTCCTTAAAACTAGAACAATGTAAGGCATTAAAATCAGCAAAGAAATAAATGTGGAGCTGAAGTACATTCCAACATCTCTGACAGACAGACATGCCCAAATTCTTCTTCTTCTGGGAAACCTGGAAAGAAAGCTAAGAAATCAAACAAAACATATTAAAGGCCTATTTTGCATATTTTCTTTTTCAAATTATTCATCGTGAAGAAATTAGAAATTAGAATATTTTCTTGTGTTTTCTCAACATTGCTTGAAACTGTTGTTTAATCATAGTACTGCAGTTTCAAATCAAGCTAGAACTAGGTGGACCACTGAAGCTGGATCATCAGTTCAGAATGGGCCACACCCAGTTACTGAACATATAGGGACGACCAGGTGACTAGGGGGTGTCTTGCCTAATGACATATTTGCCTAAATTCATGAATAAATAGCGTCTGACTTACTAAACCAGTTATCAAATGTCTGAATTTGTGAACGAGTTAACAAATATTGTCTAAATTTGTGAACCAGTTAACGAACCGTTTAACAAATGCTGTCTTAATTTGTGAACCAGTTAATAAATATTGCATTTGTATGCAAAACAACCAAGGAGTCTAATTTTAATTAGAATGGATACTGAGTAATTCAAATTCAAATTCAACTTCATTAAGATCAAAACATCTGGGCTATTGGCTGCTGTGTAGTGTCTTAAAGGTAAATCCATAAGCATCACATGTTGAACTTTAACCCCTGCCAAAATCTGAACGTTTACTTTTGACGTTTAATAATGAAAAATTTAAAAGGTGCAGCATACGAGCCACAATAACATATGTACCAAAAGACATAGCGGTTCGAAAATTCACCAACCAGGAACCATGACGGCCATCCTGGATATTGAGGTATGTAATTACTTTCTATAATTTGAAGCCTAACATCAGACCAAATATCAAAACTTTTTACCACTTTGTGGTTTGAGGATATCATCATTTTGTTTTTGGATGGAAAAATAACAAATTTGAAAGGGCTCTATGTCCTTCATTTTTGATGCTTTGACCTTTAAACTTTACAAAACTCTAAATTCAAGGTCATAATCACATGTGTATCAATGTAATTGTGAGATTTTCAGTTTCCACCTATATGTAACGAGGAAGAGTTAGCCAAGGACCTATGAACTATGTTATGTACAATAAATTGTTTCGGATTTATGTGGTTGTGAAACAAGTTTTATTCTGGAGATAGAATGTCTGTAAGATCTCCGAAAATAACAACAAAGAGAAGAATAAACGTAACGAAAATGGAATCCCTAATGAAGGAGCATCATTTCGTTTACATGTGGAAAGCTACGAGAGTCGAAATTCGGAGCACACTGTTACACAAAATAGCCAAGTCTTAGGTATTTGCTGGGACGCTAGAGTCTTAAATGGTATGTATTTTGGGAATATACTATTTTAGCAAAAGTAAATGCATGCTACAAAAACTCAAAAAGAACTGTACGGTGACGTTACCACCCCTGATGTAGGCGGTAGGTAATATGTCGGCGTCTTCAGTTGTGTAGAGTATTTAATAGCCTTATATTTTACGTCTGTGAACTTCATTCGAATCCGTCTAATCTTCTCCCGTTTCCCTTTATGTAGAGTATTAATAGCCTTACGTCTGTGAACTTCATTCGACTCCGTCTAATCTTCTCCCGTTTCCCTTTATGTAGAGTATTTAATAGCCTTATATTTTACGTCTGTGAACTTCATTCGAATCCGTCTAATCTTCTTCCTTTTCCCTTTACTTGGATTGAGTTCCTAATGAATGTTCTCAGTATCAGAATATTGATACCATT